CAACTGAGATAATCATGTGGTTTTTGTTTTTGGTTCTGTTTATGTGGTGAATTATGTTTATAGACTTGTGTATGTTGAACCAGCCTTGCATCCCCGGGATGAATCCTACTTGATCATGGTGGATAAGCTTTTTGATGTGCTGTTGCAATTGGCTTGCCAGTATTTTATTGAAGATTTTTGCATCTATGTTCATCATGGATATTGGCCTGAAGTTTTCTTTTCTTGTTGAGTCTCTGCCAGGTTTTGGTATCAGAATGCTGGTCTCATAAAATGATTTGGGAAGGATTCCCTCTTTTTGGATTATTTGGAATAGTTTCAGGATGTATGGTAACAGTTCCTCTTTGAGTGTCTGGTAGAATTTGGCTGTGAACCCATCTGAACCCAGGCTTTTTTTGTGTGGTAGGCTCTTAATTGCTGCCTCAACTTCAGATCACGTTATTGGTCTATTCATGGTTTCGACTTCTTCCTGGTTTAGGCTTGGGAGGATGCAAGTGTCCAGGAGTCTATCCATTTCTTCCAGGTTTGCTAGTTTATGTGCATAGAGTTCTTTGTAATATTCTCTGATGATGGTTTGAATTTCTGTGGGATCTGTGGTGATTTCCCCTTTATCATTTTTTATTGCATCTATTTGGTTATTCTCACTTTTTTTTTTAATTAATCTGGCTAGTGGTCTGTCTATTTTGTTAATCTTTTCGAAAAACCAGCTCCTGGATTTATTGATTTTTTGAAGGGTTTTTCATGTTTCTATCTCCTTCAGTTCTACTCTGATCTTAGTTATTTCTTGTCTTCTGCTAGGTTTTGAGTTTTTTTCACCTTGCTCCTCTAGCTCTTTCCATTATGATGATAGGGTGTCAATTTTGGATCTCTCTACTCTTCCCATGTGGGCACTTATTGCTATATATTTTCCTCTAGAGACTGCTTGAAATGTGTCCCAGAGATTCTGGTATGTTGTGTCTTCATTGTCATTGGTTTTGAAGAACTTCTTTAATTCTGCCTTCATTTCATTATTTATCTAGTCAACATTCAAGAGCCAGTTGTTCAGTTTTTATGAAGCTGTATGGTTCTGAGTTAGTTTCTGAATTCTGAGTTCTAACTTGATTGCACTGTGGTCTGAGAGACTGTTTGTTATAATTTCCATTCTTTTGCATTTGCCGAGGACTGATTTACTTCCAATTATGTGGTCAATTTTAGAGTAGGTGTGATGTGGTGCTGAGAAGAATGTATATTCTGTGGATTTGGGGTGGAGAGTTCTGTAAATGTCTATCAGGTTTGCTTGTTCCAGGTCTGAGTTCAGGTCCTGGATATCCTTGTTAATTTTCTGTCTGGTTGATCTGTCTAATATTGACAGTGGAGTGTTAAAGTCTCCCACTCTTATTGTGTGGGAGTCTAAGTCTCTTTGTAAATCATTAAGAACTTGCCTTATGTATCTGGCTGCTCCTGTATTGGGTCCGTATATATTTAGGAACATTAGCTCTTCTTGTATCGATCCTTTTACCATTATTTAATGTCCTTCTTTGTCTCTTTTGATCTTTGTTGCTTTAAAGTCTATTTTATCAGAGACGAGAATTGCAACTCCTGCTTTTTTTTTTTTTTTTCTCTTCATTTGCTTGGTAAATCTTTCTCCATCTCTTTATTTTGAGACTTTATGTATCCTTGCATGTGAGATGGGTTTCCTGGATACAGAACACCGATGGGTTTTGGCTTTTTGTGCAATTTGCCAGTCTGTGTCTTTTGATTGGTGCATTTAGCCCATTTACATTTAGGGTTAATATTGTTATGTGTGAATTTGATCCTGCCATTTTGATGCTAGCTGGCCGTTTTGCCCATTAGTTGATGCGGATTCTTCATTTTGTTGATGCTCTTTAGCATTTGGTATGTTTTTGGAGTGGCTGGTACTGGTTTTTCCTTTCTATGTGTAGTGCCTCTTTCAGGAGCTCTTGTAAAGCAGGCCTGGTGGTGACAAAATCTCTGAGTACTTGCTTGTTTGCAAAGGATTTTATTTTTCCTTCACTTATGAAGCTCAGTTTGGTTGGATATGAACTTCTGGGTTGAAAGTTCTTTTCTTTAAGGATGTTGAATATTGGCCCCCCATTCTCTTCTGGCTTATATACAGGGTTTCTGCTAAGAGATCTGCTGTGACTCTGAATGGCTTCCCTTTGTGGGTAACCTGACCTTTCTCTCTGGCTGCCCTTAGCATTTTCTCCTTTATTTCAACCCTGGTGAATCTGACGATTATGTGCCTTGGGATTGCTCTTCTTGTGGAATATCTTTGTGGTGTTCTCTGTATTTCCTGGACTTGAATATTGGCCTGCCTTGCTAGGTTGGGGAAGTTTTCCTGGATAATATCCTGAAGAGTATTTTCCAGCTCGGATTCATTCTCTACTTCACATTCAGGTACACCTATCAAACGTAGATTAGGTCTCTTCACATAGCCCCACATTTCTTGGAGACTTTGTTCATTCCTTTTGTGCTCTTTTCTCTAATCCTGCCTTCTCGTTTTATTTCATTGAGTTGATCTTCGACCTCTGATATCCCTTCTTCTGCTTGGTCAATTCAGCTATTGAAACTTGTGCATGATTTGCGAAGTTCTCGTGTTGTGTTTTTCAGCTCCATCAATTCACTCATATTCCTCTCTAAGTTGTCCATTTTTGTTATCATTTCCTCAAATCTTTTTTCAAGGTTCTTAGTTTCTTTGCATTGAGTTAGAACATGTTCTTTTAGCTCACAGAAGTTTCTCATTACCCAGCTTCTGAAGTCTGATTCTGTCATTTCATCACTCTCATTCTCCATCCAGTTTTGTTCCCTTGCTGGTGAGGAGTTGTGATCCCTTGTAGGAGGAGAGATGTTCCAGTTTTGGGTGTTTTCCTCCTTTTTGCACTGGATTCTTCCCATCTTTGTGGATTTATCCACCTGTTGTCTGTGTAGTTGCTAATTTTCAGATGAAGTCTCTGAGTGGACGTCCAGGTTGTCGATGACGAAGTTATTTCTGTTTCTTAGTTTTAATTCTAACAGTCTGGCCCCTCTGCTGTAGGACTGCTGAGGTCCACTCCAGGCCCTGCTTGCCTGGGGATCACCTGCAGCAGCTGCAGAACAGTAAGGGTTGCTACCAGTTTCTTCATCTGCTATCTTGGTCCCAGAATGATGCCCACCAATTGTCAGTCTGATCAGTCTTTTGTGAGGTGACTCTTTGGATATATGGGGGTCAGGGAGCTGCTTGAGGAGGCAGTCTGTTCTTTATAGGAGCTCAAGTGTTGAGCTGTGAGCTCCATTGTTCTTTCAGAGCTGCTAGGCAGGTACGTTTAAGTCTGCTGCAGCAGAGCTCATAAACCACCTTCTTTTCCCCCAGGTGCTCTGTCCCGGGGAGTTAGAGCTTTATTTATGAGTGTCTATTGTGCTGCTACCTTTTTTTTTCAGGGCTGCCCTGCCCAGCAAGCCTAGTCACTGTCTGCCTGCAGCGGCTTTGCTGAGCTCTGTCCTGCTGCTGTTGAGCTTCCCTGTAGTCCTGTTTATATGGGTGTGGTTAGAACTGCCTCGGCAATAGTGGCCCACCTCTGTAATGGCAGCCTCTGTTATGGCGGGTTGCCTCGGCAATGGCAGGTTGCCTCGTCAATGGCAAGCTGCCTCAGCAATGGTGGACTACCTCCATAGGGGTGGAGTGCCTCGGTAATGGCAGACGCCCCTCCCCCACCGAGCTGCACTGTCCTGGGTTTAGCTGTGCTTGCCGTGAAACTCTCAACCCCAAGCGTTTCCAATTGCTGTTTTTTTTGTTTGTTTTTGTGGGGGTGGGACCTGCCGAGCTTGATCACCTGGCTCCCTGCCTCAGAGTCTTCTTTTTTTAAGTTGAATGGTTCACTCTCTTTTAGGTGTTCCAGTCACCTGCTGAAAGGGCGCTGAGATCTGTGTGATTTCCTGTGTGGTGACCCACTGCACCAGCTGAAACAACAGCGCTGCCTGGGAATCTCCTGGCCAGCTTAAAAGGGCAACAAGACCAGTATATTTTGTATGGAGAGCCACTGTGCTGCGGCGCCAGCAAAACAGCCACACTGGCCAAAACAGCTGTGCTGGCGACCCGTAGGGCTCCTCCGCCTAGGAATCTCCTGGTCTGTGGGCAATAAAGATCTGTCTGGAAATGCGGTATCCACTCACCCTCTGCGCTTTCACTGGGAGCTGCAATCCTGAGCTGCTCCTAAAAGGGCCACCATCTTGGATCGTCGATCGTTAATTTTCTAATTATGGAATGCCTTCATTCCTAAAAGCAATTTCAGAATTTTTTCCTCCCCTCCCTGGCACTGCCAATCCCAAGCCCTGTGCAGCAGCATGGTAGTGCTTCTGGGAAAAATGCTGAAGTATTTTTCTTTGCTGTTTTTTTTTTGCTATTTTTCACAAGTGTCTTTGGCTTCAACCTTAGAAATTATCCTGGTGAATGAAACTTAGGCTGTAGTCAGCAAAAAGAGAGGGCAATAAAGCACTTTTCTCTCCCAATGGGAAGATAACATGCACATTTTTTAGTGTCACTCTGAGATAGAGAAGTTGTAAAGTTGGCTTACATTCCTAGAGGAGGTAACAGTAGGATTTACAGCACACATCATTCTATCAGTGTCTTTTCAGACAGCCTGTCTGGCTTTTGAAAATCTTTCTTACCTGTGATTGCTCTATTACTGTATGATGAGTATGCATGAAAGAGACCAAAGTGGACCAACTCCTGAGCTGCCGTTTAGGGCACGCTGGCTTCCGATAACTGTCGATTAATTATATCATGGTCCTAGCATCTCTGCCTATAAAACTGAAGGAGATCTGCATATTTTCTGTGATTGGTACCATTAAGTCAATTTAGAAATTTGGTTGGATTTATTATAATTTTGTGTAGATAAAATGCCTTTCTCATGTTTAATAGAAATATTCAATATATATATATTTTAAATCCCTCTACATCCACAAATGTAATCTCTGGTAGCTTGATCCTACTTACAAGTCTGAACATTCTTTTTCCTCTTTTGAAGGTTGCTGAACATTGAAAGTGAAATGATCAAATTTGCCAGTTACTATGCTGGAATTGCTGTCGCAGTATTTATCACAGGATATATTCAAGTTAGTAGCTCTTCTGTATAATTTATAGATCAACATCTGATCTCGAAGACATTACAGTGAGATGCAATGTGTTGCCACCCTTTAAGCTAATCAGAAGTTCTAAGAACTACAGTCTGAAATGAGAGAATGGGGAGGGATTCTTCTCTCAGGTAGACAACTTAGGAGGATGCAAGTGGCTGTCCAGAGAGATGAAGGTTAGACTCGTAGTTGTAATGTCCTGTCCTCCCCTGCCTTTCCCTACCTCATCATCTCTTCTATATCCAGAAATGGACATTTGCAGGGGGCAATTTGTAGAGGGCAGTTGAGTAACTTGAAGAAACAGAGGGCAGGGATAGATAGAAGAAAGTAAAATTTACTTTCTTTTTCTTTCATTGCAAAAGTCTCAACAAACTGCATTCCAACCCAAATTCTGAAAAGCTGAATCTAGAGCATATTTTAGATTTAAGTGATGGAAGGGCTTGGAGTTACTTAACCCTTATTAAGAAAGAAAAATATTTTATCTTTTGCCTCCTTTTGTAGAAAAACAATGAATTCCTTCCTATTCATTCAATAATTTTAGGCAGTGCTGTTCTAAAGAGAAATGAATCCATCTTTCCCATTTAGGCATTGGGAATTTTAATGACAGGCTTTTTTTTTCTTTTTTTAGTTAGGGAAAATCTATCAGTAGATTAGATTTATGCTGATGTCGTAATTTTTGTCTTACATTTCTTGAAAATTATTGCCTGATAATTATGCATGAATGCTTCTAGGCAAGTCTCTCAGGGAGGCAATTCACTTGGAAATGGCATGAAAAATAGTTATTTAAGAAAAATAATGCCTTTTTTGGTTCTGTGAGCTTTCTTTTACACATGAGGAAAGTGAAGCTCTGTAGGGTAAAGTCCAGAAGACATGAGCCTGCTTAAGTGTCAGAGTTGGATTCAAACCCAAATCTCAGGCTACCCTGCCTAAAGTTCTGTTAACCTCCACTTTTAGCAGCAGATGACAGAGCTCACACCTCAGTTCCCAAGAAAAGGCATTTTCTGAATTACTTTCCCCCTTTTCTTAACTGTTGTATTGAAAGTACTTTCTTCTGAAAAAAGAAGAAATTAACAAATATTTCCATCATGGCAATGCTAAACATTCCTTTGTCCATTTCTAGATATGCTTTTGGGTTATTGCTGCAGCTCATCAGACACAGAAAATGAGAAAATTTTACTTTAGGAGAATAATGAGAATGGAAATAGGATGGTTTGACTGCAATTCAGTGGGAGAACTGAATACAAGATTCTCTGAGTAAGTGCCTGGTAAAACAGTATTTTAGTGTGTGATTTTTGGATAATAAAACTCTTCCTTCTAAATTAAATAACAATTTAAAATATTTTCAGTTTTTCTATGTTTCATCTCTTAACTTGGGCTTTCCTAGGTGGCACAGCTTTTACATAGGTAATACACTGACAAATATGGACATTAAAAATTGAAAGTCAAGGTACTGCCATTTGGTTTGTAGACCTTAATTAAAATATTAGAAATGAATTATTATATAGGACAGCTAAAAAGGTTTAGCCGTCCAGGTGTAACTGGATTTAAATCCAGTTTATACCTAGTTTAGGTCATTAACAGCCACCCAGGAATTCTAAATGAGAGGAATTAGAATTGGTTGAACCCTATGGAACTGAATTTTGAGGTCCCCTGAAAGATAGTCACTCTACAGTGTAGATGAAGTATACTGAAAGTTGGGACCCCTAGCTTCCAGCACTTACTCTGCTCCTAACTGTGACCTTGAACAGTTATTTAACCTTTCTGGAACACAGTGGCCTAGTATCTGGGAGATGTCTTAGGGTCTTTCTTGCTGTTAAGTTCCAAGCTCTATGCACTCCATCTGGACAAAAGATTAAGAGAATGTTCTCAGGAATATGAATTTAATATAATTATATTCAATCAATATTGCAATTATCTTGTACTTCTGCTCTTAAGGAACTTACAGCCTAGTAGGGGAAATAAGAAGTGCAAGCAAATAAGTAATAGAACTAACACATATTAATTGCTTATTACATGGTAGGCACTGTTCCATAGGCTTTACAAGTATTCACTACTTTAATCTTCATTACTACCCACTGGGATAAGTTCTATTATTGCTCTCATTTTACAGACAAGAAAATTGAGTCATAAAAAGGTTAAGTAACTTTGCCAACAAGAGTTTGTATTCACATTCCTAGTCTGGCTCCAGAATCTGTGCTCTTCATCACTACTCTATACTGCCTCTAAGCAGAATGCAATAATTACACACACATACTCATGCACAAGGATTAATTACAGTGTTACGGATATACAGGGGGAAAGGTGCTACTTCTTCTTGGGGAATTATACAAGACTGATGAACAATCAATGTATGCATGTGACTAGAACCTCAAGGCTGAAAGGATTCAGCAGGCATAAAAAAAGAAAGGCTATTCAAGATAGAGCAAGAATGTTAGCTATGTAAAAGAAAAGGTCAAATAAGATGGTTTCCAAAAGCCTTTATCAACACTGAGTACCAGCTGGGAAACCTAGATTGAGGATAAAGTTGGTTGGCTATGAAGAGAGAGGCTTGATAACATCCCAAGGTGCAGCAAATTTTCCAAGATTTCAGAGACTGTTAATGCTACCCATGGGTGATGGGGATAGAGAGACGTGAATGTTTAAAAGGGAAAGACTGAGACTTTCAGCAAGACATTTGAATGATCAAATTCAGTTTTAGTGACCAAAATCTTTCTGGTTTCTAGTGATATTAGTAAAATCAATGATGCCATAGCTGACCAAATGGCCCTTTTCATTCAGCGCATGACCTCAACCATCTGTGGGTTCCTGTTGGGATTTTTCAGGGGTTGGAAATTGACCTTGGTCATTATTTCTGTCAGCCCTCTCATTGGGATTGGAGCAGCCACCATTGGTCTGGTAAGAATGTCTTTTTGCATCTCTCCTTGGGAAGACATTTGCCCTCATAAATAACCAAAACTTGTGAAACCTGAGTCCCTTTTCCTGAGTATAGTTAGCAACAAAATTATCACTATTTTCATGTAGTTTATTGGATTACTCCCCAGTGTCAAAGACATTTCACAGAATAGGGACTAATGATGTCTTAATAAGGTAAATATTATTTTATTAAGAACAGTTACATTTATTGAGCAGTCATTATTTTTCTAGGCACTATTAGGAACATCATATTCATTATCTCTAATCTTTATGACACTCTTATACAGTGAGCACTAATATCATTTTACATATAAGAAACTGAGGTTCAGAGAGGTAAGGGGACTTGTCTGGGACTACACATCTGGCAGAGCAGTATTCAGGTATAAAGGGCTCTGACTCCAAACCCCACCCACTCCCCAGTATGCCTATTTTTCCCTATGTCCTCCCAAGCTCAGGCACATCCTTCAAATGGCACAACAGACAGACCCAGAGCATTAACAAGCACATTAAAAAATTTTCTACAATCACAACTGTGTTCTCCATTTCATCTTATCTTTCAGAGGGAGGTTATCTGACCCATTCCAAGAGTTATCCCTGTTACTGTCTCAGTTCCCCAGGTATTGAGGCCAAGACATGTAGGAGTAGGAATTTTGGGTCATATCAGTTAAAACACTCCCAAGGACTGAGAAATTAGTATTATTATTAGAGGAGCCACATTAGCTAGCATGTTATGGGATCAGGTATACTAAAAATTTGCTATAAATGAGAATATAATTTAACTGAAAAACTGCATACACACTCACACATCGTTGAGCAATAGGTACCAATTTCCTATTGCTCAGTAGCAAAATATTCTCACAGTCCACTGACTACATTGCTCGAACACTTCCCAAATAATAGAAAAAATGGTATAAAATGACAATAGCAAAGAGCTCACTCCATTTCACTTGGTCACCACTTGGCTCTACCACTAACAGGTTATGTGACTCAGGAAAAATACATTTCACCCGTGAAAATCTCAGTTTCCTCATCTTTAAAATAGGGATAATACCTCCCAAAAACATTATGATGATTTAGGGAATAATCCACGTTATGTACTTACGCAGTATCTGGCGCAGAATCAATTGTTAAAGAGAGATGTATTTTTTAAAATCTGCTATATCATTCAAGCTTGACGACAGTCTTCCCTACTAACCGCTTTCCAGCTATACTCCAGGGAACCCTCAACTTCCACAGAAGAGCTTCAGGGGTTTTGCAAACATTTTGTTTATTTTTTTTTCTAATTCACTTAATCTCTTTCTTCAAACCTGTAATAAAGTAATATCCACACTCACATGGATCATACACCACATTTCAACATGTTGGAGATTAAAAAAATAGCCCAGTTCACATGGTTTTAAACAGAACTAACGCTTAATTTCTCTAGTTATCTCGGTATGCATTTCCACCTTCTCGTAAATGTGTCACTGATTTGGAATGTTGTAGGTCTGCACATGTCTTGTCTTGCTCAAGTCTGTGTATGTCTGTTCCTATACAACAAACTTCTACAAGCAACCATGCAATAAACTATACAAGCAACTTCACTAGGCTCAAATGTAAATTTTAATGTTAACAAAAACAGCCTCAGTCTTGACAACACAGTGAGGCCCCATCTCTACAAAAAAAAAAAAATTTTTTTTTTAAATAGCCAGACCTGGTGGCATGTGCCTGTAGTGTCAGATACTCAGGAGGCCGAGGCCAGTGAAATGCTTGAGTCTAGGAGTTTGAGGTTGCAGTGAGGTAGGATCATGCCACTGCCCTCTAGCCTGGGCAATAAAACAAGAACCTGTTCCCCCCCACCCCGTAAAAAAAAACAAGTCTCATTTTCCTTACTGTTACATTTTCAATTCACATGTTTTATAAAATGTGGACTGATGAAATAAATACATTATTTTTAAAAAATGACTATGAATACTTAACTTATATCTTAGAATTTCATCTAAGATTTTGTTGTTTAAGAGTTTTGCTTCTAAAAGTTTGGAAAAACTACTGGAAAATAAACTCCCTTAATCCGGGTATTATTTTTTTTTAATATTTCTGAATTAGTTGATCTTCCACAATATGTGTTTTTTCTTCTTCTTGTTTATTAACCTTTGCCAGGGGTTTCTTTGGGGGTTCATTTTGACTAGGACTCAATCCAAGTCTAATGGGTCTACTATTAAGTACAGATGTCTTTTCATTTCCTTTTGTAAAAATCAAAACTACGAAGTTGAGTATTTCCAACTGAGTGAAAATGGGGTAATATTTACGTGGAACTTTCTTTTCTGGAATCATCTCTCAACATCATGCCTATACTCTATATGCTATATGCCATATATTATACCCAATCATGATATCTGCATGGATCTCTGGTATTTGTCTATAAATTAGGCAATGGCCATTGGCTAATAGCAATGAACTATGACATGGTCTAACTTAACACTTTTTAGTATAATGACTGAAACACTTTAGTCTCACAGAATGTCCTGTTTGGAACTTATTCTGTGAGGAGGTTCTTGAGTCTGACTTTTAGTAGGGTCATTTTTATATGTCAACCACCAAACACCCTGGATGAAGCTTATCATAATCCAAACTTGGACCAGATTTCTTCCTCCTGTCGATGTTACAGTGAGAATCTACTCTTGTATTAAACCATGTCACATGTTAAATGAATCTGAATGACAGGCTGACTTACCTATTTTCTTGGACTTCACATTTTCTTTCCTTCTTTTTGATTTTTAGAGTGTGTCCAAGTTTACAGACTACGAGTTGAAGGCCTATGCCAAAGCAGGGATGGTGGCTGATGAAGTCATTTCATCAATGCGAACAGTGGCTGCCTTTGGTGGTGAGAAAAGAGAGGTTGAAAGGTTGGTTAATTGGAATCTGATTCTTTCTTTATCTTGATCAATCAGTGTAGTACCCTGAATCTCTCAGTTTGTGCAAAGTGGCAGACCCACCTTGGTCTATGGCCTCTGTAGGAAGTACTTGTTCAAGAGGGAGCTAAGCAGAGTAATTTAGATTGGTCAAAGCCCTATAAGAAGTCCCAAGCCTTTAGCATATGTTTTTAAAGATGTTGCAGGTGGCAATTTTTAGAAAGCCAACTTAGGATACATATTTCTTTCAAACTCTGATGTATGTATCTACATATATTATATCTCATACCAGTCTATAGTGCTGTTTGCTGCCATTAAAGAAAAGCCTACATAATAATTACAACTAGATACCACAGAACTATAAAGGGTCATAAGACACTCCCAAAAACAAACACCAACAAATTGGATGACCTGCAAGAAATGGATAAATTCCTAGAAAAATACATCCTACCAAGGTTGAATCATGAAGAAATAAATAGAAATAAATCTGAACATACCAGTGAGGAGTGAGGATATTGAATCAGTAATAAAAAGTCTTCCATGAAAGAAAAGCCCAGAATCTGACGAGTTCACTGCTAAATTTTACCAGACATTTAAAGAAAAACTAGTACCAGTTCTCCTCAAATTCTTTCAAAAAATTAAAGAGGAGGGGATACTTCACACTCATTTTGCAAGACCAATATTACCTTGATACCAAAGCCAGAAAAGGATACTACAAGAAAATTAAAGGCCAATATCCATGATAAACATGGATGTGAAAATTGTCAACAAAAATACTAGTAAATCAAATTCAATAGCACATTAAAAGAATCATTCACCATGATCATGTGGGATTTAACCCTAGGATGTAAGGATGGTTCAACATAAGCATGTCAATAAATGTGATATATCACATTAACAGAATGAAAGACAAAAAACCATGTGGTTATCTTAAGAGATACTGAAAAAGCATTTGACAAAATTCAATGTCATTTCCTGATAAAAGCTCTCAACAAATTAGGTATAGAAAGACTGTACCTCCTCTCTGCCTAGGTAGGTCCTGCCTCATATGTACGGGCCACCCAGGGTGGGTTGAAAATCCATCCCACTCTTGGCTTTGGCTGTACCATGGGGGAGACTTGGCGAGGTGAGACTTGGCTCCCAGAGCCTCTAGGGACCTCAGCTCACTGCGCACTGCCCCATGTGCAGTGAGCACTCCACCCAGATGCCGCTGCTTGCGTGATCTGGCCCCTCATGGTTGGCCCCTTGCCTTCACCCCTAACCTGTCTTCTCTCTACCAGACACTGGTCCTCCCAGGCCTGAGACTGATGTGGGGGGATTCAGCTGTCCCAATCTTTCAAACAAAGCTCTTTTTTTTTTTTTTTTCTTTTTGAGACAGAGTTTCACTCTTGTTACCCAGGCTGGAGTGCAATGGCGCAATCTTGGCTCACCGCAACCTCCACCTCCTGGGCTCAGGCAATTCTCCTGCCTCAGCCTCCTGAGTAGCTGGGATTACAGGCACACGCCACCATGCCCAGCTAATTTTTTGTAATTTTTAGTAGAGACGGGGTTTCACCATGTTGACCTGGATGGTCTCAATCTCTTGACCTTGTGATCCACCCGCCTCGGCCTCCCAAAGTGCTGGGATTACAGGCGTGAGCCACCGTGCCCAGCCCCAAACAAAGCTCTTTGTCTAAAAAAAGAAAAGAAAAAAAGACTATACCCCAATACAATAAAGGTCACATATGACAAGCCCACAGCTAAATCATACTCAAGGGTGGGAATTTCAAAGCTTTTGCTCCTAAGATCAGGAACAAGACAAAAATACCCATTCTTGCCACTCCTTATGCAACCAGAAAAGCCCTTAAATAGCAAAAGCAATCCTGAACAAGAAGAACAAAGCTGGAGACATCATATTAGTAAGTGATCAATAAGCAAGTGATCTCAAAATCTACTACTATAATTAAAATAGCATGGTACTGGCATAGAAACAGACACACAGACCAGTGAAAAAGAATGTAGAGCCCAGAAAGAAGTTCATGAATTTATGATCAATCAATTTTCCATAAAGAGGCCGGAAACACCATGAGGAAAGGGTAGTCTCCAATCAGTGATATTGGGGAAACTGGATATCCACATGCAGATGAATGAAATTTGATCCTTGTCCCACACTATACACAAATATCAACCCAAAATGAATTGAAATCTTAAATGTAGGATATAAAACTGCAAAATTACTAGAAGAAAGCATAGGGAAGAAGCTCTATTACATTGGCCTAGGCAATGATTTTTTTTGACACAACCCTAAAACGGCAAATAACAAAAGCAAAAATAGACAGATGGGAGTAAATCAAACTAAAAAGCTTCAAAAAGGAAACAATCAACAGAGTGAAGAGGCAATTTATAGAATGAGAGAAAATATTTGTAAACCATACATCTGATAAGGGTTCACATTCAATACATACAAGAAACAGAAACAAGTCAGTGACAAGAAAACAACCTGAGTAAAAATGGCCAAAAGACCTGAATAGACATTTCTCAAAAGAAGACATACAAATGGTTAAGAAGTATTTGAAAAGATGTCACACATCACTAATCATCAAGTAAACACAAGTCAAAACCACAATGAGATATCATCTTATACCTGTAAGAATGGTCATTATAAAAAGAAGAAAGAAACCCTGTTACACAAATCCCTTTTGGTGGGAAAGTAAATCGGTACAGCCAAAGAGTATGGAGATACATCAAAAAATGGAAAATAGAACTACCATGTGATCCCAACTCCCCACTAGTGGGTACATATCCAAAGGAAATGAAATCAATATGTCAAGAGATATCTGTACTCTCATGTTCACTGCAATATTATTCACAATAGCCAAGATATGGAATCAACCTAAGTGCCCATCAACAGACAAATGGATGAAGAAGTATATTTACACACCACATTCAATAGCATGCTACTCAGCCTTTAAAAAGAAGAAAATACCGTTATTTGCAGCAACATGATGAACCTGGAGGACATTGTGTTAAGTGAAATAAGCCAGGCACAGAAAAATGCCACATGATCTCACTGACAAAGTTGAACTCAAAGAAGCAGAGAGCAGAGCAGTGGTGATCAGGGGCTTTGAGGGGAAAGGGCCAGGCGGGAACTGTGGAGACATTGGCCAAAGGATTCAAAATTTCAGTTAGTCAGGGGTTCAAGTTATTTTAAAAATAATGACATTAATTATCTAATTGTAATTATTTTAATTTGGTTCATGGTGATCTAAAAGAAACCCTTCCTTATTCACATTTAAGAGGCAGTTTATAAATTCAAGAAATGTGCTGCTATCATGGTGACTATGTTTAATAACAATGTATTGTGTACTTGAAAATTGCTAAGAGTAGATTTTTAAGTGTTCTCACCATATATACATACACACACATATACACACAAAATATAAGTTTGTGAGGTAATGCATATGTCAATTATCTTGATTTAGCTATTCCACAATTTATACATATTTCAAACCATCATGTTGTATACCAAAAATATATGTAACTTTTGTCAATCAAAAAAAGTAAAGAATTGCCATCATAATTCAAAATGCTATTTCACACATATTTATTGAACACCTTTTTAATTAAACACATTCAGTTACTGTGTTACATGTTCTTTATAAAGTCTTATGATATTTATATTGAATCAGACAGGTTGGGCATGGTAGCTTATGCCTGTAATCCCAGTACTTTGGAAGGCCAAGGCAGGTGGATTGCTTGAGGCAAGGAGTTTGAGACCAGCCGGGGCAACATGGCGAAACCTCATCTCTAGAGAAAAATACAAAAGTTAGCTAGACATGGTGGTGTGCACCTGTAGCCCCAGCTACTCAGGCAGCTGAGGTAGGAGGATCACCTGAGTCTGGGGGTTAAGGTTGCAGTGAGCTGTGTTCATGCTACTGCACTCCAGCCTGGAAGACAGAGAGATCCTGTCTCAAAAAAAAAAAAAAAAATAGCATTGATAAATTATAGATCATTATTCTAGAGATGAACACTTAATAAAAAGAAAAACCCAAATGGCCAAAATAACTTGTCAAAAATGTAATTTTGTTTATTCTTTAATTTATCTGGTATTTGCTGAGTACTTACTATGTGCCACATATTGATTTTTATAAAATAACTACCAACTGAATAGCAAATCTTACTTTATATGCTGTAGATTTGGTAAGACAGTGTCATTCTCAGTTGCTACCAAATCCACCAAGGAAAAAAGGGAATTTTTCTAGGTTTTACAGCCTCTTATTATCCTCTTTTCCCCCTTTTCCCACTTCTTTTGGTTTGTGGAGTGAGGTTCTTTATTTCTTGTAAAAAATTTTCAGTAGCAATTCTTCCACCATGAAAGACATTATCTTTTATTGTCAATAAAAGAGGCAGTGTAGTGTTTTAGAAATGGTAATAAACATAGGATAGACATTCAGTTTGTATCCTGTGAAAGGTTAAAAGTTCTCCATGAATTCAATTCTTGAGATGTAGGAAGGTGGCTTCAGAATGCCTGAGCTATATATGAGACAATGCCCATTGTTAATGGCGAGACCATAGAATTACTGAAATCTAATCCTTGCGTGAGACTTCTACATAGTTTCAGTTATCCATGTCTCATGGCCGTGAACCTGACCAGTATGTCACAACACAGCATCTCAGCTGAAGGGTAGATGGGTGAGTTATAGATGAATTGGTGCAAACACTAGTTCCAAGCGTGGGGATCTGGAAACAAAATTATTTAAAGCCAGTTGCATTATTTTCTGATATGAACATATCATATGTCTCTCAGAAACACTTCAAACACAAGTAATACTAGATCTGTCTTGTTCATACATTTGTGTTGAAAATTCTTTTCTCTCAGGGCCAAGTTTACCTCATGATGCAATCCAAGCAGCAGTCAGGCAGCTTGTTAAGTATCATCCTTTCAACACATTTCATTGCCAGGTTAAAACAAATTTTAAAAACTACACAAAGGTTATTGAAGATTTTTCTCCCTAAAACTGTTCTGTGTTTGGGATGATTTTATGATCATTTTGTAAAACCATTCATCATGGCCCTTTTTAAACATTATAACTTGAGTTGTTTCTGCTGAGATTGACTCAAAGGTTTTCTTTTCACAGGTATGAGAAAAATCTTGTGTTTGCCCAGCGTTGGGGAATTAGAAAAGGGATGGTGATGGGATTCTTTACTGGATTTGTGTGGTGTCTGATCTTTTTGTGTTATGCACTGGCCTTCTGGTACGGCTCCACACTTGTCCTGGATGAAGGAGAATATACACCAGGAACCCTTGTTCAGGTACCTTGATCTTATTGACTGGGGCATAACATTTTCTTCTGGTATCTCAGTCCATGGATTCCACATTTCGTTTATTACTTTGGTGTCTTCAGGAAAAAAGCACCAATTATTCGATAGAGTTTATCTACAGAAGCAAGTAATACCTTTTTAAAAAGTTATCCTCCTGAGGTGATCCTCCTACCTCAGCCGCCTGAGTAGCTAGGGCTACAGGTGCACACCACCATGTCCAGCTAACTTCCATAGGTTTTGGAGGGAACAGATGGTATTTGGTTAAATGAGTAAATCCTGTAGTGGTGATTTGTGAGATTTTGTTGTACCTATTGCCCAAACAGTATACACTGAACCTAATTTGTAGTCTTTTAGTCTTCACTCCCTTCCTACCCTTTCCCCCTGAGTTCCCAAAGTCCATTGTATTATTCTTATGACTTTGCATCCTCATAACTTAGCTCCCACTTATGAGTGAGAACATATGATGTTTGGCTTTCCATTCCTGAGTTACTTCACTTAGAGTAACAGTCTCCAGTCCCATCCAGATTGCTGCGAATGCTATTAATGCATTCCTTTTTATGGCTGAGTAGTATTCCATCATATAAATATACATATACCACAGTTTCTTTATCCACTTGCTGATTGATGGGCTTTTGGCCTAGTTACACTTTTTTGCAATTGCTAATTGTGCTGCAGTAAACATGCATGTGCAAGTATCTTTTTCATATAATGACTTGTTTTCCTCTGGGTAGATACCCAGCAGTGGGATTGCTGGATCAAATGATAGTTCTATGTTTAATTCTTTAAGGAATTTCCACAGTGTTTTCCATAGTTGTTGTACTAGTTTACATTCCCACCAGCATGTAGAAGTGTTCCCTTTTCACCACCTCCATGCCAACATCTGTTATGCTTTGATTTTTATTATAGCCATTCTTGCAGTAGTCAGGCGATATCACGTTGTGGCTTTGATTTGCATTTTCCTGATAATTAGTGAGGTTGAGCATTTTTTTCATATGATTGTTGGTTATTTATATCTTCTTCTGAGAATTGTCTATTCATGTCCTTAGCCCACTTTTTGATCGGACTGTTTGTTTTTTCTTGCTAACTTGTTTGAGTTCACTATAGATTCTGGATATTAGTCCTTTGTCAGATGTATTGATTGTGAAGATTTTCTCTGACCCTGTGGGTTGTCTGTTTACTCACTGTTCCCTGTGCCGTGAAAAAGCTCTTTAGTTTAATTAAGTCTCAACTATTAATCTTTGTTTTTATTGCATTTGCTCTGGGTCCTTGGTCATGAAATCTTTGCCTAAGGCAAAGTCTAGAAGGATTTTTCCAGGGTTATCTTCTAGAAATTTTTATAGAGAAACAAGTAATACTTACACATTTTATAGTAAAGAGATGCTAAACATTTGAATTAATGAGACCAGCAATTTAATAATTTCAAATTAACTTAAGACTTTATAGCTATGAAATGATGATTTTCTGACTAAGTCCAAAAGAGAATATACCATGAAAATGGAAAGTCACTGATCTCTCAGCTAAAAATTAACAGCTCATATAACTTAGCTTTATGATAGTCCAAGATATGTACTAGGGAATGTGTTTATGAAACATAATGATTTACTAAAATGCCAGCTCAATAGCATCCTTGACTGAACAGGTAATACAAATCTACTTTATTGTTCACTTGTGCTAAAGTAGCTAATGCCTTGGCTACATTAATTTTCATTGTCCTTCTAGTTATTCATTTAAGAAGTAATTATTCAGCATCTACTACGTGCCAGACACTTAAAAATGCAGGGGATTCAACAGTGAGCAACAGAAATGTGCCTTTTGTTTTCGCTCTGGAAAAAAAAGTTTAGTGGAAAAGACAAGCAATAAATGAGTAATCATGCAAATGCATACAGACAAATAGTGATGTGCTACAGAGGACAGAGAATCTTGACAGTGAATAGCAAGATAACCAGGTGTGGCTGTGGTCAGGGAAGGCTTCTTATACTGCTCCCTTTCCCAAGGCCTTTCCTCCTTAGCTTATGGCTCTCTCTTGTTGCAGTTGGACTCTGATCATTGAATGTCACTTTGCCAGTCAGGCCTTTTATGCCCACCCATTTTTTATTCTCTTTTGTGGTTTGCTGTACTTTTTCTTCAAAACACTTGAGTGACATTGACTATTTGCATTTATTTACACTGTGCCCACCCCTTTCCACCCTCAGATGGTAAATTCTATGGGGTCAGAAAACAAAAAATGAAATATTTGTTTCATTTGGCTTGCAGGTAGATGGGGAGTAGTTTTATATCAACTTCTTAAATGAATTTTTTTAGCTCCAGATTCTCAGTAGAGCAAATAAACAATGAAAAATATCAAAACCTTGTATACCATCAATTTGCTAGCCAAAAGCCTAAAATTCAAAATCTGCTGCTTTAAGATAAATACATTGCTAGGGGAAATTGAATCGGATTTTGATTTGCAAATAAAGTGATTATCAGAGCTGAAACCATACTCATTCCAAGCCACTGACTTTATTTCATTAAGAACGTGATAATACACAAAGAACAGCTTTTTAAATTCTGTTTATCTTTGCAACATGCGTAGCTCACATTTTTTGAACTTTGTTAAAGGAACTAAATATGATAAAACAGGTTAACGTGTTTTGTGTTTTGTAAATTTTAAAGAGATCGTATAGATGGGAAGTGTTACCATTTTCATAATTTAGCCACTTTTTAGCAACTTAGATACAGTTTTTTGCAGATTGGAAAAGCCAGTAAAGTATTGCAGGTCTAAATTTTGACTATAGTCCCTTGTCTTTATTGATCCAATTCCTCTTAAGAACTTTGACATTTACCAAACTAGGGAAATCAGTAGTTGGCTTTAGTCGTAACTGCTTATGTATACTTGCTATGCAAGAAGACATGCATTAAGAACACTGATTTTTCCTTTTGTTCCATGCCTACAAAGAGAGAATAGATGGATACCATAATAATGGTTCAGAGGGAAAAGTGAATTGGTAAACTGAAAACCAAATAATGCACAATTCCAACAGAAGCACTTGTATAAAAAGCCCTTTGGTAACTCTCTGTATAGGAATACAATTTTATGGCTCTCATCTTTAAATTTTCTGCCCATTGTACTGTAAGCTACTCTACCTTTCATAAATAATTTATTCTTTCAATTGATACTTCTTGAGTCCTTGCTATGTGTACATGTGGCATATTATGGGGTCTCTAATATTTTAATCACTAATTATTAACCTCTTACTCCCAACCTCTTTCTGTAAGCCTCTGCTTATACCTTAAGAGAAAATTTCCTTTGGGAAGATGAAACACATTCTTGAACACTACACTCCTTGTTCTCTCTCTCTCTCTCTCTCTCTCTCTCTCTCTCTCTCTCTCTCTCTCTCTCTCTCTCCCTGTGATATCTTGGCCAAACTTCTGAGCAGCAAGCTATGAAGGCTGAGTGTACATGGGCTGAGTTGAGTGTTTTAATCCACAAAACTAATTAACAATTTGGTTAATCTAGTACATTTTGTGATGTACAAATCGTTACTGGCTGCATGGTAATTGGCTGTAAATGGTAAGTAGGTCACATAAGTGACTAATTAGTATCACTTGTACACAGAGAAAAAATGCAGTCTGTGCTCTGGTAGAAAAAGATAAAGGGGACTTGAATGGTGTAGAAGGTTGCTCTTTGATGACCCTCTTGAGTTTCAGAATTCATTAATAAAAATAATCACATAATAGAGAGTGACATTCGTTCGGTGTATACAAAGTATCAAGCAGTGAGTGATATATTATGTAGTAAAATTACTGCATTAATGCTCTCAATCTCATTTGGTAATTGATATCATTATATTACCACTGAAAAAAATGAAATTGAGGCCATGAGGTCAAGAAATATGTGCCAAGTGACATTGCGAGGGATTTGAACTCAAGTCTCCTTGACCCTGGGGCCTACCTATTAACCACTGTTTTCCTGCCTCTGACTCTGTCTTCCCAGAGGCCACGGACCCCTTTTCCTCCAGCACACCCATAGCTTGTTTGTTCTACAGCAGTCTCTCTTCCCATCTCTCTGTCTACACTACTTCTGCTCTTCACAGGGCTAAAGAATATGATGTTCAGAGGGACAAGTGATGGCTTACTGGGCTGTCGCTAGCTACTGTGATGGTTTGGGAATGTGCTCTTGTCCTGTCTCACACACTCCTCCAGAGACCCATTCAAAGGGTTGGACGTCAAATTTCAGTTTAGGCCTCCATTCAGCCAGGAGTCAACAAACTATGACTGACAGGCCAAATCCAGCTCACTGCCTGTTTTTATAAATAACATTTCACTGGGACAGAGTCACAGTCATTTATTGACATATGTCTGTGGCTGATTTTATACTACATAGCAGAGTTGAGTAATTACCTCAGAGTACATATGCCCTGAAAAGCCTAAAATATTTATTTGGCCCTTTTGCAGAAAATGTTTGCTGGCCCCGGATCCAGGGCAATGGACGTTTCCTTTGCGGAGGTAGAAAGACCTCTGATGCATGTCGTCTTAAACCAAATTTGACTATAAAAAGTGTTCTGTCTGCTCCCTTTACCACCTCCTAAGTGTGGGACCTCAATGCTCTCATCACCATCAGCAATATCATCATTACTACCATTGAAATGACTAGCACTGGATTAATCATCTTTACAAACATTATCTCATTTGATCCTTGTATCATAAGGATAATCATAGCATGTATTCCTATGAAATATATGCTATGATTATCCCCGTGTTGCAGATGAAGAAACAGGGGCTTGAAAGATTACATAATCTGCCTATGAGAGGAACCACCTGCCATAATTGAGGAAAAGGAGATGAAGAGAGAATTTTTGTCCCCATGCATAGACTGGGACTCTAGGGAGAAAGCATGAGCAGGCTAACCCACCACCTATGTAGGGCTGGCCTGGCCCTGTTAATCATCCTGATCTGTGGAATAAAGAGGTTACTGAAGAGGAAGATACATGGCTGAGAGGCTCCATGTTTCAGCCCCTCCAGCCACAAGGAAGAAAGAGAAGCAGGAGAGACTCGAGCACTTTGTCCCAATGTGATAGAACCAATGGGAAGGGTCTGGCCTATGGAAACCATCATAGACCAGAATCATTTGGTTACCTGAAAAAGACTACATTCATGCAGAACCACTTTGGCTTGGCAGTAGACTGGCCAATGAAACGTCCTCTATGTGGGTCTCAAGAGTAGGACCATTCTTTGGTTACTAGGGCAGAGAGAAGGATACTGGTATTCCTTCTGGAGGCCAACTTAATTTGCCTCATTGCCTCTTCCTCATCTTTGCAAACAGTGCTGATATTAATAAAAACAGAGTGCTGTTTGGTAGGAACGGCATTATCAGGTAGCCTTCCTCTAAGTTTATGAGATGATTGCATTGGCAAATCAAAGGACAGCTGCTCCAAGTCTGCACAGAAACCTGATCAATCCACCGACATGTAGCCAGCAACAGGTAAGTCTAGGAGCTAGGTAGAATGGCAGTCAAAAGCCTAGATTCAAATTCTGCTCTACTACTTACGACATGTTGTGACCTAGTGCAAATTAGAAACCTCCATACCTGTCTGTTTGCTCATCTGTGGTAAGGACAAAATGAAATATTACAGATAAAACACTGAAAAACATACCTGTTATTATTGTTATTATTACTGTTATTCGTAGCAGTTGCAGAAGTTATCCCAGTGACCACTATACTAGTAGTATTAGTATAGCAGTAGCAGCAGTAGCAGATTGGTTTTGTATGTACCAGCGTCTAGAATAGTCAGGCTGATCTTAGCGTCTATATTGTTTTTGGCAACACTTTAACCAGAAAACCACTGTAAGGCTGATTATATAATGAATTCAATTATCAAATCACTATTCAAGTCCACACCTTGGATCTACACGCTACCTTGCTAAGACCTCTTACTCATTTCAAAACATTCCACTTTGTAGAAGAGTAATATTTGGTAAAAATAATAATAATAAAGTGGTCTTTTAAATTATAACCGTGGTAAAATTGGAGATGCTTTATAGAACAAAAACTATTTTGGGTGTTTCCAAACAGCTGAAGAGCTAGCTTTCAAACCCACAGAAGAGTATTTCTGAGAAATCTGAGTTAACATGGATGACCCAAATTATAGTAATTATTATTTACACATTGACAAAAACACATGAGAAATATCTCTCTCTTTTCATTTCAGATTTTCCTCAGTGTCATAGTAGGCGCTTTAAATCTTGGCAATGCCTCTCCTTGTTTGGAATCCTTTGCAGCTGGACGTGCAGCAGCCAGAAGCATTTTTGAGACAATAGACAGGGTATGTAAAGGCCAAAAGTAAAGGCCATTAACAGGTGGGGGCCAGGGGGTGGGGCACAGAATAAACCCCTGAAGAATTTACCTTAATGTAAAAATATGAGAAGCTATCACAAGGCCCTTAATTCAGTGATACTTATTAAATGCTATCATGTGCTGGTGCCAATTCTTTTATTATTATTATTATTTTTTGAGATGGAATTTTGCTCTTGTTACCCAGGCTGAATGCAGTGGTGTGATCTCGGCTCACTGCAACCTCTGCCTTCTGGGTTCAAGCGATTCTCCTGCCTCAAGGGAGCAAATACAACAGGGAACTAGAATAAGTAAAACCCCTGTTCTTTACTCATGCTGGGAGAGGACAGGCAGTAAAGAAGCATGCACATTCCAATATAAGACGATAGCAGAGAGTGGTGTGTAAATAAAGGAAATAAAATAGGACAATGTGACAGCAACTGGGAGGGGGAAGGAGTCTTTAAAGTGAGTGGTGGTGATGGCATCTCTGAGGAGGTAGTATTTGAGCAGAGAACTGAAGAAAAGTCAGCCATGCAAAGGGGGATGGGAGGGGGTGGGGCATGGGAAGTAAGAGCAGGGAGGGCATTCATGGAAGAGAGGCCTCCACGTTGGGAAAAGCCTGCTGATTTGAAGAAGCTGAAACAAGCCCAGTGCAACTGAACAGAGTGAGCATGGGAAGGCTGGAGGCATGGGAAGGGCCATACTGTTCAGGACTTCAAGGCCAGAGGAAGCCCTGGAAATCCAGAGGTGATTTGTGGGTTCCTTGAACCTATTTGGTTCCCTGTCCCCCGTTTGATATTTTTTGCCACACAGCGAAGCTGTAGCCTACTAAGGAAATGACTCATTGCTTTATCTGTTTTATATTTTGGGCTTTCATATATTGGAATACAGAGGGATTGTTGAAAACCACATAAAAATGTTAATCAATGGCCGGGCATAGTGGTTCACACCTGCAATCCTAGCATGTTAGGAGGCCCAGCAAGGAGGATAGCTTGAGCCCAGGAGTTTGAGACAAGCCTGGACAAACCTGTCTCTACAAAAAATACAAAAAGTAGCTGGGTGTGGTGGCACATGCCTATAGTCCCAACAAATCAGGAAGTTGACGTGGGAGGACGGCCTAAGCCCAGAAATTTGAGGAGGCAGTGAGCTATGATCATGCCTCTGCATTCTAGCCTGGGTGGCCTGTCTCCTAAAAACAACAAAAACAACAACAGATAATGTTGGTCTGTGCAAATTCTACCTCATTCTTAAGGTTGTTATATGCTCAAATAGGATGATGACTCTAAAAGTGCCCTGAAACTAAAAAATTAAGGCATTTATTGTCTTTATTAGCAACCCAGTAAGGAGATAGATTATATTATACTCATCAATAGAGCCAAGATAATTGATATGGTTTGGCTTTATGTCCCCACCCAAATCTTATCTCTAATTGTAATCCCCATGATGAACCTGGTGGGAAGTGATTGGATCATAGGAGCGGTTTCTCCCATGCAGTTCTTGTGATAGTGAGGGAGTTCTCACGAGATCTGATGGTTTAAAAGTGGCATTTTCCCTTGTGTGCTCGCTCTCCTGCCACCGTGTAAGACGTGCTTTGCTTCCCCTTTGCCTTCAACCATGGTATAAGTTTCCTGCGGCCTCCCCAACCATTTGGAACTGTGAATCAATTAAAATTCTTTTCTTTCTAAATTTCCCAGTCTCATATATTCTTTATAGCAGTGTGAAAATGGACTAATACGTTGATGAATTTCCATCACTAGTTATGAAAAAAGGAAAAAAATGATGCTGGAGTGTTCTGGTAGCAGGAGGAGGTCCTCACTTTTGTCTGATTAACCAGAGTGGTTAAATTCTAGATTGGGCTTCCTGCTAGCAAAAGAGGTGAAATTCAGGACAACAATCAAAAGTTGGTAGCGTTTGAAGACATCCTTTAGGAACACTCAGTTGTAATCATCATCTACCATGGATACTCAAATGTAGAATACCCTTGGACCCCAGATTGGTTGACTAGTTTCATGGCCCTAGAAATTAAATATCTCTGCAATTCCTCCACTTCTTCAACTGAAAAATGGGCATATCACCTGTCTAGTTTGGTCATGGTGACAATTACGTAAATAAAAGCAGAAACACACCTTGTACGTTGTCTCCTATATTAACTTAGTAATATAATAATAATATATAATATATAATAATGCTAACATATATTACACATTTATAATAATATATGTATTATATAATATTACTATATTATATAATATCTCAGTAATAACTAATAGCAATTAAATTAATTAAATATGTATTGTATTAATATATAATAGCTCAGTAATATCTCAGTAAATAGTCATTATTCTCACTATTATTAATAAATATTTAATGAGGAAACATCTTTGGCATACCTTTGCAATATTTTATCTGGTTATTGCTCTGTTTATAGGTAAATTCAAATTAAGACACTTGCAACCTAAGATGTGTGCATCTTCATTTGAATTTATAAATGTATGCATCTTCATTTGAATTTACTCATATATCAGAGCAACAACCAGATGAGACATTCTAGAGACATGCCAAACATGTTTCTTAGTTTGAATTTACAATTTGAATTGAGTCGTATATCTTAGTTTAAATTTACACTGTGTCCCTTTTGTATTCCACTCCAGAAACCCATCATTGACTGCATGTCAGAAGATGGTTACAAGTTGGATCGAATCAAGGGTGAAATTGAATTCCATAATGTGACCTTCCACTATCCTTCCAGACCAGAGGTGAAGGTAAGAGCTCATCTTTTCCCCAGCACAATGGATGTTTTCTTCTTTGATGATTTATTTGCAGAACCACAGATTGCTTATTTCCTGAAGTCTGACTCAATTCCCAGGAATAGGGAATGGAGGTGTATTTCTCTGGAAGCATTCTTGGGTGTTGGCTATCAGGTGATACACCACATTCCTTTGTGATAACCATAATGTGCAAATCCCTCTTGTTGGGACACAGTCTGGCAGCACATTCAGGCTAAATGAACTCTATGATACCTGTTGAAATGAGTGGCAGGTCCTGTCTTTCTAAGCATGTGTTAGATAAATGACAATTAGAACAGTCAAGAAGCACAGGTCCCTCCCAACCTTTGTAGAGGCAGGTCCTGTCTTTCTAAGCATGTGTTAGATAAATGACAATTAGAACAGTCAAGAAGCACAGGTCCCTCCCAACCTTTTTAGAGGCAGGTCCTGTCTTTCTAAGCACATGTTAGATAAATGACAGTTAGAACAATCAAGAAGCACAGGTCCCTCCCAGTCTTTGTAGAAACTGCAGAAAGTAGGGGACACTGAGTGTAGGGTATGAAATGGCAAAGGAAAGCTGCCATTATGTGAGTGTTTATTTCCCATCTGTAAATTCACTAGGGTCACTGCATCAGCCCTTATAGGAAGGTATCCTTGTGATACTATGCTCATGTGTCTTGTTCAGGGCACATGGTGAAAAAGTTTTAATTTCCTGCCTTTAAATTATCTTTAAAGGCAATTTACCCTACAGGAAAATTAGGATCTCTATCCCTGAATGAATTGGCTTTTAAATTAGACTTATTCCTCATTTTCAACAGAGTATCTCTAGCCACTCTCTCTTAATAATATTTCTGTTATCCCCACAGAACTAAATCCCATTTTGTTAGCATAACTTAATTCTGACACTACATACCTATTACATATATATATATATCACTCTTTCTTTGAATACATGCATATATACACAGAGAAGGTAAACATATATAATACAGGTAAATATTTATATTATATAATATTTATAATATATGATACATAAATATATGATTGTAAATATATATTTACCTACATTTTAGGTCTATATGTACATACCTACATTATAGATATGAGGTAAATATAAATATATCTATAAATATATATAACAAATGTATAAATATAAGTATCTCCATTTACCTACATTATAAATATATAAAACATAAGTAAATACATATTCTAATTACATATTTAAAGTATATTTTTATTATCCATTACATATGTACCTAAACATCAAATGTTATAATGTATGTAAAAATGCTTAGTAAATTATAAATTACAAAGTAGTACACATCCAGTAAACATTTTTGAATGGATAGCTAAAACTTACCTTATATTAGTTAGTGCAAAAGTAATTGCACTTTTCATCATTACTTTTAATAGTGAAACAAAATCTTCTTACTTAAACCTATATGTATTTATTCATGGTACAACTGTGTACATAACCCTGCTGTGTACCACACTGTACTGGCGCTATAATGATAAACAAGCACATTTGATGTCTGCTTGCTCTGGGAGCTTACATCCAGTACAGGCCAGTAAATGGTATATTCAAACACCATACACATGAAGGATGTGTATGTCCAAATGGTATGTTCATACACCATACCCATGAAGGATGGTTTCAAATCTGCAAATTGCCTTATTGTTAATCCATGATCAGTAAATTAGTACTATATCTCTAACTTAATTTTTTTCTTTAACTAATTGGCACAGTCTCCTTATCCTAGTATGTCAGGAGTGTTTTAAGTTAGATTTTGGAACATAATTTTAAAAGTAAACACGGCTTATTTACTTCACCTGTGTTAATGTACATCATTTTATTTCTTGGTCATGGCTCTCAGTTAAACAATTGAGTAGTGTGCTAAATGCCAAAACCTCATCCTTGACAATGTTTTCTTTTGCTGGTTATTGATAGATATCAGTGCACATTGCCTTGGGTGCATACATAAACATGCACACAGGCACACTGTATCAACATAAAACATCTGCACTTGTAGCCTAATTGTTTGATTTGATAAACAGTGACAATCTGAACTTTGCTGTTTTCTTTCTTCTCCAGATTCTAAATAACCTCAACATGGTCATTAAACCAGGGGAAATGACAGCTCTGGTAGGACCCAGTGGAGCTGGAAAAAGTACAGCACTGCAGCTCATTCAGCGGTTCTATGACCCCTGTGAAGGAATGGTGGGTGTCTTCCAGAGACTCCTCAATACATGGGGACAGCAAAGTGCAAATGGCAATATACTGATCAAACAGAAAGGGGTAGCATACATTGAGACCGTCCTGGCACACAAAGTTAATTAATGATTTGTTACTGAACTGATGGGACAAGCTCCCTACATGGTAACAATGAATAATCAGCCAATTCCATTCAATGAATAACCAGTTAATTCCATTCACTGTGTAATGTAGCAGAATGTGCAGATATAGTCATGTGTGGCATAACAACATATCAGTCAATGATGGATTGCATATATGATGGTGGTTCGGTAAGATTATAGTAGAACAAATATAGAAATCTGATATATGTTAGTTGATGTTGGCATTGCAGATCAAGTAAGGGAAATGACTGATATTTAGTAATGGTGCTAGGACATTTATATATGTATAAATTTGTGTAACTACACTGTGATGTTTGCCATTGATGAAACCACCTAAAGACACATTTCTCAGAATGTATCCCCATTGCTTAGCTATGCATAACTGTACATTTAAAATGCTATTGCTGCTTCTTCAGTGAACTATCTATTACACTTTTTTCTTTGTATTATAACAAAAATATAATTGTGTTCTTAAGTTATCCAAACGCTAAATACAGGAATAATAACAGGGCTTGAAATTAAGAGAGAGCGGTCCTTGATTACTGCTTCAAGTTGGGTTTTTAAAAATGGTATAATTTTATAAATCCACGTAGTCACTTTTTTCTGTAACCATAGGCTGAAACTAAGAAAATGAGTATTAGTAATTGCCATTTATTACATACTGTATGTCAGATTCTTTATTAAAATGATTACTTATTGTCACAATGACCCCCAAAGGTACATAGGCCCATTTGACAAACAAGGAAGCAGAGAGTCAGAAAGACGGAGACTTGTCTAGGGTCACTGAGCTGGAAAATGACCAAGCCAAAATTGAATCCAGGTGTGCTGGGTGCCAAAGCCTGTGATCTTTTCACTCTGTCTCAAAATCATTCTTGTCAGTATCTCTTTGATGACTTGAGATGGAATGGTTTAACTGCGTATTTAACGGCTTCAACAAAATGAGTTCTCTTCCATGCACAGACTATTACGCAGGCATAGCAAATATAACAATGTTTTCCTTTTTCACAGACATCTCATCTCTGATTGCGCATTCTTTACTACATACCACCATAACTGCACTCTGAATATATAGAAATCAGTTTCTTGATGTAAGATATACTAATAGTGATTTTTATTTGCTCCCACTGATAGTTTTATTTGCTTTTGAACAGCAAAGTGTTATCTGATTAATCTGAAATGTTATTTGATGAATCCAGAAAGTAAGACTTACTGTAAAGTCTTACAAGAGAGGGATTATTGCTTATTTTTATAGTATCTTTTGAGTCCATTTTCAGTCAAAAGTCAAAAGATAAACAAATATTTAAAATATAATGAATAACTGAGGGATCAAAAATTTGTCCATTCCTGGGGCAGTGGTGTTAAATTAAGTGACCTTTGTTTACATCATTTATGTTTCTACAATGAGTTGTTCTGCAGCTATACTTGATTTCAATTACATATTATCATCCAAAAGCTACATTTCAAGAGGAATTGTTTCCATTAGAATCTTAGTGGCCTCTATTTTTCCCCACCATTGGTCAAGTATGACATAATATTATGATCCAGAACACTGAAAGATTACAAAAGTTGTGACATTGTGCCCATGCTCTCTAGGTGACTGTGGATGGCCATGACATTCGCTCTCTTAACATTCAGTGGCTTAGAGATCAGATTGGGATAGTGGAGCAAGAGCCAGTTCTGTTCTCTACCACCATTGCAGAAAATATTCGCTATGGCAGAGAAGATGCTACAATGGAAGACATAATCCAAGCTGCCAAGGAGGCCAATGCCTACAACTTCATCATGGACCTGCCACAGGTACCCCTTGGTTTCCTGGAGGAAACCAAGGAGTCATAGTAGGAAAAAAAGCTGCACAATTATATAAATTTCTTTTCATATAATTCCCAAGCCGTTAAATTCTTAAGGCCATGTTTTAGTTTCATGCCTGAAAAAGTATCATGAGTTTTTCCTTTCATCTGAAAATATATCATTTATATGTTCAAAATCTATCAAAAAAAGGAATTTTTCTTTTGAAAGCTCCCTTTGTTGGTAATATATTAAAAATCTACCAAACTGGTGAACTATCTTTTTTAAAACTCCTTTGACATAGATCTAATGTCCTTATTCCTTTTATTAAGCATTTGTCTAAGCAGATGCTAAATGTCATGTGGCAATAGCTTGCACAATAATCTCATGATGTCTACTCTTTAATTGCCCTGTGCTTAGGCAGCTAATTTTGTGTCAAAAACAATTCCTCATATATCTCTATTCTAAGCAACAACAGCTGCAAAAACCAACTACTCAGCATTACACTTAAATGGATTTTGCCACTGATGGCCTGCCAACTCAAAGAAGAGTTATTATTAAGAGTTAACATATATATGGTGCTTACTACATGCCAGGCACGGGTTCTAAGCACGTCACATCTATTAACTCATTAAATCGTCACAACCACCCTGTTAAGCAGCTAATATTATTATCTCCATCTGCAGATGGGAAACTGAGGTTCTAAGAGGTCAAATAGCTTGCTCAAGATTATATACCAAGTAAGTGGGAAAGACAAGGTTCATACAGAGGTGGTCTGCCTTCAGAGTCAAATGATGTCGAATACTTTCTCTTCAGTCTTTTAAATTCTCTTTATGAATAGGATTGCAGCTGTGAGTATGATATAGCCTAATAGTTAAAGAATATAAAGCTTTAGAATCAGACTGCCTTGATAAAAATCCCAGCTTCTCTATTTACAAGCTTTATGAACTTTTTCTCAAGTTTACCTCCTTGAGCCTAGTGTTTTCTTATTCATTAGTTGAGAATGGCTGTACCTGCCTCATAAGGCATCTATGAGAACTAAAAAAGATAATAATGTGTAAAAAGCTCAACACCATGCTTTATGAATGGTGGGGGCTCAATTCATGTTGGTTAGTAATAAGCAAGATAAGTGTCTGACCACTAACCCCTAAGCATTAGATACCAATGTTATGCTAGGCCCATGAGGTAATCAGTAACCATCTGCTATCAGTGATAATAACTATAAAGCTAGTTTGATCCTTTAGTCACAATATAAAAACAGCCTTTGCATTATGTTTTGCTGTATGTCTAGCTAGAGAAAAGAGACAAGGATTTGCTCTGTGCTTTAATCCTCTAACTGTGATCAATTTTCATTTTGTTGAAAAATCTTATTTAAAGTCGAGCTAAAGGGGAACACTTATACAGCCCAGTAAACCCTGGAATAAAAGCATAAATCAGTTTCTTTATTTCACACATAAATATTGACTAGACAATAGTCCGTTTTGGGAAGGGATGATTCTTTCAGTGGAAGTTGGACCAGTGAGAAAAGAAAGCTATAATAGAAAAGACATTGTAGTGAATCACTGTCAGAAGCTATCAAATTCTTCTCCCTTCTGACTGGTATCACCTTCCTCCTAGCAATTTGACACCCTTGTTGGAAAAGGAGGAGGCCAGATGAGTGGCGGCCAGAAACAAAGGGTAGCCATCGCCAGAGCCCTCATCCGAAATCCCAAGATTCTGCTTTTGGACATGGCCACCTCAGCTCTGGACAATGAAAGTGAAGCTATGGTGCAGGAAGCACTGAGTAAGGTTTGTGGAACACCTCAGTCCATTTTACAGGTCCACGTGGAAATGCTTGTGCTGCTGCAGGAAAGGCAGCTCCTTGTGGGGTGGGAGGGATAGGAGTAGTTGATACCACATGGGCTCATGCACCTAGTCTGATTGTTTAGAAAATATTAGCTGACTACAATCTTCTTCACAGTTGACCAGAAGAAAGTTATAATTTGTTTCCAAAGCTACCAGTGTAAATGTTTAAATCTTGTTAAGATTAGCTTATGATATTTTTTAAATTACTTAAAAAAAATTTTTAGCTGTTGATTAATGGCAGAAACAGGGCCAGTGTGTGATGGGGTTTATGGTTGCAAGAAAACGTGCTGGCCTCTTCTAATGTCTGCAGAGCCTATTTAAAAATATTTCCAGGGACCAAGGATCTGACTTGTGGATTCTGAGATGATCCAAAAGTCAGTGTCAGCTCTGTCTCACAGTCTTGTTTAATGGTACACTGCACATTCTTACAGATTCAGCATGGGCACACAATCATTTCGGTTGCTCATCGCTTGTCCACAGTCAGAGTGGCAGATACTATTCTTGGTTTTGAACATGGCACCGCAGTGGAAAGAGGCACCCATGAAGAACTGTTGGAAAGGAAAGGTGTTTACTTCACTCTAGTGACTTTGCAAAGTCAAGGAAATCAGCCCCTTAATGAAGAGGACATAAAGGGCAAGTGCTTTTTCCTATACTTGTATATTATATTAAATAGTGCTTTATGTTTCTCTATGTATTTCAGTACTCATTGTTCTCCAAACAACTCTGGCAGGCATTATATAGACAGTAAAGGAAACAACTGAAGCTCAGGAGGCTAAGCTGTCTTTAGTGCTTTAGTTATAGCACTAAAACCAAGGTCTTCTAACTTTCAATTCCGTCTCCTTTTTCGTTTTACCCTGTGCAAATAGAAAGGCTTCCTAGAGTGTGTCCTACATGCAGTAAAAGCTTCATGCTTATTGGCTGAGTGAATTAATCAATGACTAGAAAGTATAATACTTATTTTCAAATGTAGATAGATACTTAGGTTCTAGTGCACCTTCTTTTTTATCAGTCTGAATTTTCAGACTTGGTGGTTACCCCAGTCTAAATTAACCAACCACTCTAAACTTTCTTCACAGTCTCACTCCATTAGATGTAACTACTATATACAATTAGCATACGAGGGTTATTCTGAATTGACTTTTGAAGCGTTCAGTGTTTCTATCTTATTTTTATTTTTTATTTTTTTGCTATTTATGCTGGACTTCTCTTAAGTTTTTTATGATTTATGCCAAAAATTACCTATTTCTGTAGAGGTAATAGGCTATTGTATGGTTCAAATGTCTCAGTCTTACTATTTTGAAATTTTTTGTTCAAATCTGCAGGACAAGTCCCAAGTTTTATTTATTGCAATAAAGTTAACAAAATGTTTTGGCATTGGACATAGTAATTATATTCTAAGCAAACATAGTAAAGAATTCTACTTAGATATGGTTCTGTTTATTATACATACTAAAGAATTGTTCATGCTGTGTTGAGTAGGAAAAGACGCAACTGAAGATGGCATGCTTGTGAGGAGCTTTAGCAGAGGAAGCTACCAGGATAGTTTAAGGTAAGCTCAAGCCATGGGGCAGATTTCAAGGTTTCCAAATATTCTTAGGAGTCCTCTGCAGTCATAATCCTCAGGGAATATTTCGGGTACAACAAGGAGACTCTGAGTAGACTGCCAGGTCTGGTCAAATATAAACATGCAAATGATCCTTGGTTGCTATATTGACATTTCTCTCTCTGATTCACGGTTTTTTTGTTTAGCTTCTCATCTTATTGGGTTATGATGGAGATGATTTATGGTTAAAATGTTGTCTATTGAGCTTAGAAAGGGGATTTTTTAAAATCTGTGTTTAGTGATTCTCTGCTCCAAGCTAACTGTGGTACGAAACACTGTCTTATATGAAGGTCAAATTCATGCCTTTAGCTCCATTTTTTAATCTACTGATCTGCAATTCAATTACAAACACTTCTGCTCCCAGAGTAACCCATCTGAAGTCAAGTCACTCCTTAACTAGATGAAATAAGAAATGTAATTTTTATCTTTTAAAAATAATTTTTCTAAATAAGAGTTACTTATTTTTCTCTGGATCAATACAAAGGTGTTTACCTTCTAAATATATTTTTGGAGTATGTATTAGTGAGGCTGTACACGTTAGTCTTTCATCCTGGTTTAAGAGTTTCAATAAAATTGTTCCCCTAATGTTAAAAGTCTGTGTATTAAGGAGAATTCTGCCCAGGAGTGTTTGTCTATATTTATAACTATTATTCAGGATATTTTTTCTTAAGTCAGAAAATTATTAATAGGCAATAAAATAGCAGCAATCTCTCTACAATTGCCCTTTCCATTTCTAGGACATTTAATGCAAGGCTGTGCAAAGTCTCAGAGATAGGACTTGCTCATTCAAGATGGATAATTATTTACTGAAAAGTCATTAAAGAGCCTTAAAATAAAAATTTCAGCTAACAATTCCAAGTAGTTCAAACACAGATTTAATCATTTAAATATTCAAAGAAAAGCTCACAAAAAGTAGTGTATTTATTTTCAGATATAGAAAAATATTCAGGCCCTAGTATATCTTTTTTTTTTTATCAATCTGAATTTTCAGACTTGGGTTTTCCTATCTTTCTTTTTGAGAACAAGTTTATTCAAACAAATTTTAAGAAATGCTCATTTGATTGAATTTATTGAATTTGGCAAATAAAGCAATAGCTTCACATTACTCTCTCAGGTAAAGGGTATAAAACAATGTTACAGGCACCTGGTATTAAGTTTAGTCGTGCTTTTCTGATTGAACCACTACATTTAAATTATTCAAATCATTAGAATCACAACCTGAAAATATCAACTAACTTCTTAAACAATGAGAATGAGTAGGCATCTCATTTGGTCAGTAGGTTAAAGGTGGCAAAGTGAAGACGTTTCTTATGATCAGGCCAACAAGAAAATAAAGATTTTCTTAACTCTCCAGATGAACAAAATCCTACCCAGGCTAAGTAGTGTATTTGCAGTTTATTATCAGGACTAGATAATCATTTTAATGTGAATATTAATTTCCCTATAATTTCTCACAAATGCTACATTTTGGTGATTAGGATGAGAACTCCAGAAATACGTCGACACACAGAAAGGAGCTATTAACCTCCTGCAGAGAAACATTTGTACATTTGAATAAGAAAGTCTGTTAAAATACCTCATTGTATATGCTGATAGATTTTTTTTTTTTGCTGAAAGATGACTGAAGTGTTAATATGTATCTTATTTCTTTGGTTTCAGTTTTTCTGATGGCTAAGTTCCTTTTCAGCAATATTTAGGTTCAAGAACAATTTAATAGATAACAGTCACAAGTTTCCTAAATAATAATATTGAGAAAGAGAGTATTTATTCCCCCAAGTTAGTTGTTTTTATTTGCAGTGAGAAGTGGTACACAGCTTCAGAGAAGGGGAAGGATAGATGTTGTCAGTTTCTGAAAATGGATGGTGTTTCTGGTAGATGAGAGGTAAACCTGCCTAGCACATACACTGCCCGTGGCCTCATGACAGCCTAGGCTAGACAGCTGGAATGATCTGGAGAATGATGAAAGAAAGAAACTTAAAAAATGTAAAGTAGATATCCAAGGGGTCAAGGACATAGGTCTTAGCATACTCAGAACTGGAAGGTAGTCAGTCATATGTTGATGGCCTCTCCTCCTCCACAGACTGCCACCTTGGCATCCATTGTTCTGTATTTGCTTAGTGTCCTTGACCTTAAGTCTCCTCCTATCATGCACCTTGTTCTCACCAGCTGACACAAGCTGTTCTGCACACCTTCTGGACACCTTCCTGACCTCTGTTACCTAACTGGAAGAAATTACTTCATTGCTGTGAAGTTTCAGGCTAGGTGGGAGGGAGTCTCTGGAGGTGTCCCAGAAGTTTGGTGGCAGGAAATGGGGTTGAGGAGTGGTTTAATGCCTGGTCATAATGAGACTTGGCAAGAGTCTGAATGTGCAAGAGCAAGGAAGAGGAAGGGCTTGAGGCAAATGCATGGTGTTGAACCTTGGTGACTAAGAGGATGGAAGTGCCATTAACAGAAAATGGGAACAAATTGGAGTAACTCAGTTGACACGTTACTGCCTTCTCTAGAAGACTAGATGAGCATATATAGTAGGCAGGTACCACCTTGATATTTGTTTTGGTCTAATTTCACTTACATACAAAATGGTAGAGAAAGATATATAAATAGATTCCTCTAGATGGCACTACAACAGTTGAGGCAGGTCTCCTCATCACTCAATCTCTCTCTTTAACCATTTACTTCAGGCGATTCTTTCTAAAGTACAGTCTTCAGCATTGCCCCTTAACCTTTAAGACTCTATTTACAAATGACTGAAAACCTAACCCAACCTGGTTTAACCTTTAGAGAGAAAGAATCAGCTCACATAACTAAATATTCCAAAGATGCTTTGGCTTCAGGCAAAGCTAGAGCTTCAGTGATATGTCTAAGATAGGCAACAGTTTCTCTCTCTTCCTTTCTAGGCTCTACTATTTCACTGTTGGATTCATTTTTCAGGAAGCTTCTCTCTTTGAAGGTCTCAACATAATTGCCAACAGGCCCCGGCACTAAATACTTTCAGGTTAATCTAGAGGAGAATGGGAGTCTCTTTCCCAGGAGTCTAGAGGAGGAGAAGGGAAGGGTAGAGCCTGAACCAATCACTTCTCATGCTTGTCATGTACTCAGTATATTCAGCAAGCAACCCTGTTCTCCCCTGTCTCCATGCTTCTGTTTATACTGTTCTCTGAGTAAGAAATGCTCTTTTCTCTAAAGTACAAATCCCCAAATCCTACCTTAGCCACCCCATCCATGAATCTTGCCTTGGTAACACCTGCCATACATTTCTTTTTCCTTTGACTTTCCATACTCTTTATTCAAACCTGCCTTATAGCACTTACTGCATTCTTTTTTACATCAGAGCGTGGTACAGGCATCTTCTATAACATTTAAACTTTTTGAAGGAGAAGTCTGTCATTGGCTGGTCTTTGTGTCCCCAACATCACTTGGCAATGGTTTATGTGTTGTAGATGCCCAATAAGCCTCTGTTGAATTAATGAATAAATGAATGAACACATTGAGCTAAATTATATTTCAACCAAGATATTGATTCATGCATCTCTAGGGGTAGTATTTAGCCTGGAGAAAAATCTTATCAGAGGCCCTATTTCCTCATATCATTTGTATCTGTGTGGCATCATGTAAAAGTGAACATGTCAGGTATGAGAGAGAGAGAGAGAGATATCAAGACCATAGTCTAAGCCAGAGGAAGGTAAAGGAAATAGTCTATTGCCAGGGCAGCAATTAGCAGAAGCATGTGGGTTTAGAAAGCATTTGAGCCTTAGGTGGTTTTTGAATGAACTGGTAGGACAACTTTGCTCCCTTTCTCTTTCTCCTTCCCTGGTTGCACTCTGAATCTGGGTCCAATGCTTGCAAGAGCTTAGGGCCCAGAGCAACCAACCTGATTAATTCTGCCCTAATGATAGTTCTGTCCAACCTAACCTGCAAGCTCCCTTACCTGGTTACCATGTGACCTATCAAACATTTCTGTTTATTTGACATATGAGATGTAAACTTGAACACTAGCTGATCCTGCTCCAATCTGGCCACAGTCTACACTGTTCCATCTTTCTGTTTATTTACAGAGCTTCCATCCGGCAACGCTCCAAGTCTCAGCTTTCTTACCTTGTGCATGAACCTCCATTAGCTGTTGTAGACAATAAGTCGACTTATGAAGAAGACAGAAAGGTCAGGCATCAAGTGCTTAAGTGGGGAATGGAAGAAGTCTTTCCTGGGGACTGTTGTGTGACCTTTCAGCCTGAGAATATGAGTTTTCTAAATATATGTCTACCAGTGTTTCACGACAGACTAAAAGACAGAACATTAAGACCTATTGAAAACTCTAAATTTTACACAATATTTTTAATGCAGATTAACTAATTGATTACTTTTAATAATAAAAGATAATGAAAACTAGACTTCATAGGGTTAACTAAGAGTCTAAGACAAACTAGTCTAACACACTAAATGTGTGAATAATGTATACTTAGCAGATTATTTGCTCATATGTAGAAATCCTTTTATAAAAGTTGTCAAGAATACCTAAAAGCTTTTTTCTCAAATTTTAAAATCTCTTCCTTAAATTACAATAATTTTAGTATTGAGCAATACCTTGATCAACAAAGGTATTTGAATAGGCTAGCCCTTATTACAAGTTATCAAAATATTTGAATTCATGGAGGCCAATTAGGTTTCATGGACATTTGTTGATTTCATAGTTTCATAATGGTTTTAATAACATAATTCAAAATAGCATAAAAATTAAAGTGCTAGGAGGGGAAACAACATGTATAGCAATATGCAATTGCTTCATAAGGATGCAGGTGTCCTGCTCTTGTGGATATTTTCTAATTTTCTCATAAAGAGATCACCCATTCTTCTCCAAGCCTTTCCTCATTACTGCACATTACATGCCAGCCCTGATACGCTCACGTTCATTCCCCTATAACCCTTCATTAGAGAATTTTCATGGCAATTTTCTTATTGAGCCTTATTCGAAGTCATGTTGACTTATCCCCTTTCTAAATTATAAGCATCTTAAAGTTAGTGACACATCTTATTTGTGTTTGAATCAACTTGGTCACCTAACCCCGTGCCTTGCACTTAGTAAGGCATCAGGAGATTTTAAAAACTAGAGTGAAAAATTGAATTTCTACAATAAAATACGACACAAATAGCAAGATTTATCAAGGCAAATTAGTCAGAGAATTTTTAAATTACAAGCACATTCATTATGCGTGATGTAATTTCAAACTGTCTTAAATAAAATTCCGACGTGAATCCACTAGGTTGTAATTATAAGCATTGGTTCACAATGGACAAATTTGGAAAAAAGTAGAGTACTCTTTATGACCTTATGAAATGACAAAAGGAGTGGTTGGGTTCTTTTTTGTTTTTAATGTATTAATAGTAAATAAAGAGAGGTCTCAATTTCTAATAGATGGTTTAAATAAATTCCATAGAAGACTCTTTCTCAGGAGTAGCAGGATGAGTCACACTGAGTGAAAACACATTTAGCAAGCATAGTTTCTTACTGCACCCTGCCATTACAGACTCAACTGCTCTTCTAGTTCCAGAAATAGCTATTTCATTGAGTCCATGCTGCTGCCACAAATAACTATAACAGATATTACATAAGAACAGGAGTTTACTAGCGCTTCAAGGGAGAAAGACCCAAATGCTACATTGACATTTCTATTGAACCATAACAATACCAATCACTTTAATTTTTATATTTTAATTTTTTCTAGTTTCTGGGTAAATGTTTGCCAATGAAAGTAAAAGTAAGAAAGGATAGAAACAAGGGAGGGAGGAATGGAGGGAAGGAAAATCTGACTTTTTTTATTGTTGTTATTCAAACTGGTAGGGGGCCTAGCATACATGCAGGGGACCATCACATTCCCTGGACCTCTGGAGATAAGATTCCTATGGAGCCCTCTTGATGTAGGAACAACTCAGGAGGGAGCCATTTAAGTAAAAGAAAATCTAAATCAAATATAGGAGCTTGTTTTACAGAGATTAAAATGTTTCATATTGTGTTCTACTAGTCAGCATTATACATGTAGAATAGAAAAATTAAGCCCAATTAAATGTAGACCAGCATATGTTTTAAAAGATGTGACTATATTCTCTCTATTTAAGGAAGATAGAAAAGAACATGAGGAAAAAGAATTATGGGGGAGCCAATGTGATTATACTAAAGCTCCAAAGGGAAACAGTCTCATATTGATACCACTAGTTTGTATGATAATTTTGTTAGTCCTTTAGATTAAAAAAAATTATTGATTTTTGAAAAGAAAACAATGGAAAGGGGTTAATAAAATTTGACTTATGCATTTTTTATTTTTGAGTTGGAGTTTCACTCTTGTTGCCCAGGCTGGAGTACAATGGCCCAATCTCAGCTCACCACAACCTCTACCTCCTGGGTTCAAGTGATTCTCCTGCCTCAGCCTCCCAAGTAGTTGGAAGTACAGGCATGCGCCACCACACCTGGCTAATTTTGTATTTTTAGTAGAGATGGAGTTTCTCCATGTTGGTCAGGCTGGACTTGAACTCCCTATCTCTGGTGATCCGCCCACCTTGAACTCCGAAAGTTCTGGGATTACAGGCGTGAGCCACTGCACCCGGCCAATTTATGAAATTTCTAATCTCAAATAGCATTGCATGGGTAAAATGTTGCTGAGTTTTGGTATTTTAAAATATTTTAATACTTAAATAAATTCCACAAGCCCAAGCGTTGGTGAAATCCTTTCTTTTTTCTCATATTGATGGAAAAGACCTAACCTTACTATCTGTAGATTGAGAAATCTCTTATGGGGCTAAGGTCGATTTACACAAAGAAGTTACCTCCAACTTGTGGTGTTCTAAAGTATTGACTCTGAAACTTAGAATTGTTTCCTGAGAAGTCTGTGTTTTCACCCAAGGTCTCATGGTTAGTTGTTGACAGAGATAAGACTACACCCATTTCTCCCTGCTCTCCAAACGGTACTCTTACTCCTGTAAATGGTGTCAGATGTTAGTTACAAGGTTGACAACATTAAGTTTAGGATTAGGGAAATCCACAGGCTAACGTGGGTTTCCCTAATATTTCAGCCTGTAATATTTAGGCATCTCTTCCGGTGAAACTAAAAAACCAGGCAGAAATGTTTTTAGTTTCGGTGAAACTAAAAAACCAGGCAGAGATCAAGTCAGAGTCAAATATTAGACATCTATAACTACATTACAGATAACCTATAGGACAGGATTTAGACATTGGTTAAGATAAGGCAGAGATGGGGCCTGGCGCGGTGGCTCAAGCCTGTAATCCCAGCACTTTGGGAGGCCGAGGCGGGTGGATCACGAGGTCAAGATATCGAGACCATCCTGTTCAACATGGTGAACACCGTCTCTACTAAAAATACAAAAAAAGTTAGCTGGGCATGGTGGCGCGTTCCTGTAATCCCAGCTACTCAGGAGGCTAAGGCAGGAGAATTGCCTGAACCCAGGAGGCAGAGGTGGCGGTGAGCCGAGATCGCACCATTGCACTCCAGCCCGGGTAACAAGAGCGAAACTGTCTCAAAAAAAAAAAAAAAAGAAAGACAGAGATGGGACCCATAAAAATGGCTGTCAGTATTAGTTCGTTTGAAAAAATCTCTGCTCCTTTGTCATAGTTACCACTTTTTATCATCAAATCTTAAAGTTATTATTAGGACAGGAGACCTCTATTGAATGGGATGCAGAAACCAGTGTAACAAACTATAGAAAGCAGGACCTAAGATTTAAGTCAGAGGTTATTTTTTCCTCTGGCCTACACAGAAGATGTAAGAAAGGAAACAGAAAAGCCCAATGTCTAGCATCGAACTATGAATGCATCATAGTAGATGAGCAATTTTAAGTCAATGTCTTGTTGCATGTATGCACCATGGGCATAAAAATTTCATTCATTCTTTTATCCCATAAACATTGGTTGCACACTATGAAGTACACACACTGGGGATGCAAAGATGAGCAAGAGCTACTGTTACTCTCCCTACTATGGAGTTACTGACAGGTATTTCTTTACATATGATTTTTTAAAAGTGCTATGCAACCTGCCAGTGCTACAATAAAGTTACAAGGAAACACATACAAATATTATAATTTTACCTCTCTATGAGTTACAATTTGCTGTTAATTTATTAATCTTCTCTTTATATTTAGTTTTACAAAATCAGAGGGAAAATATTTCTTTACAGAATGCCTTTAGTTATATTTTTTATTGTTTTCTTTTATTCTTCTCCTGTTCTTTTTTTGTAAAGAAATCAAATGAAAAGCAAGCAGCAGTCTGATATTTAGGGACAGATTTTCTAGTTTTTGCATCATTCAAGTTTGACAGCTGCATTTTGGGAGGGTATTAGAGTCAAACTTTTAGTGTAGAGGAACCAAATAAAACTATTCAAATTAATGAATTTGTATTTCTTGTCAGTTTCTTTTGGAATCAAAACCACTAGACAAGATTTACTTTACGTTGCTTTTAGATGTCCTAAGTAGTATTGTTTAGGGTTAAGGATACTTTCAGGTATCAGAAGGTTGGAAAAATTTCTATCATGTCAGACTGTGGGTAGACCATCCTGTGGGGCAGTGGTTCCAGGAAATGCTGGTGTTCGGTGTCACAAGAAGGCTGGCAGAATTTAATGAGTGCTGACAGTCTTCATAAGTTCCCAAGCGTACCCTTGATGGTACATACAGAAAAGCTGACACATCTAAAACATATATTATAGATCCTAGCCATTTAGTGGTGGGAGGAGCCTTGGAGATCATATACTCCTGGGGTTCTCATAAACTGAACTTTGGTTACCAGAAATACCTGAGGAGTATTTTTTAAAACAGAGATTCACAGTTAGGCCTACTAAATTGGAATTCTGGTGACATGATCCAGGAATCTAGTTTTTCAGTCATCATCCCACATGAGTCTGAGAGCATCCAGACCTGGATGCCAACCACTGTCTAGAACAGCGAAGGGTTGGAATATTTTGCTCTATTGCAAGCTATTCAGTCAGTCTCACACAATTTCATGATGCTGGCAGAATACACGAGCATCCTGAATCACAGTGTTCATATTCTTTCTTTTGGAGACACAGTCTTGCTCTGTCACATGAGCACCCTGAATCAGAGACAAAGGACTTTATTACTCATAGCAATAGCAGTAGCCAGTGTTCAGCACTTGCACTGGCTCCTCAACCCAACTACCAGTTCCCACAAGACAGTGCAAAGAGGGCCAGATGTTACCAACAAAAGGAGTGAGTGTTTTAAATAAGAGGAATCCCAGGCTTGAGGAGCCCAACTCTTTCATAATGGGCAGATGGGGGCAGTAAGGTTTCCATTTCGCTTGGGATGAAGACACTTTCTTTGTCCTCCAAAACTGTTTGGTGTGCAAGCACCCTTGAAAAAAATAATCTGAATGAAGGCAGTCAATGCCTCTGTTCACGGGATGTACAGAAACATGGAAGACCCAGAGAGATTGTCTCCCCAGAATAACTCAGTCCAAGTCTCTCATTTTAAGGATGAAATCACTGAGATCCGGAGAGCTAGGGCACGTGGTGATATACTTTACTGGTGGCCACATGGGGCTTATCCAAGAACTCCATTCTTTCTATGCACATTATACTCATGCTTTCCCAGGCATCCTTCTTCCTTTCTGGCATAGGTTGCCTAGAGCTAGTAAGCTGTCACCCACTGCATGAGTGAGCAGTAATGACAAAGCACAAATGGTGACAGCAGGCCAAGAGAGAACCTGAAATGGAGGCAGTACCAAATTCATCACCAGCCCAAGTTGCCTTCCCTCCTTTTATGTGACTTACAACTGTAATGAAATGGGTATGACACCAGGCTTTCATTTAAATTGAATGTAGTCTTTGACTTCGAAAACAAAGGGAAAGTTTTTGAAGATCCTTGCTGCTGTCTATCCCTGCTATTCAGCTCCCTAAAGAGTAAATTACTATGTTAATGAAAGAGAGCACTAATTAAGCTTTATAGTCAATTTTGCTCTAGTCAATAAGCTATAGTAAATGTTAATAGAAAATGTTTTAAAAATCAATATAAATCTGTATAAGCTACCTAAAATCCTTTCTCAAACGAAGTGGGTAATAAATTTAACAAATTAGTAAATAAATTACCCTTAAGATCAAGCATGAGTAATATCCACAGCAAGGAAAAATGGCCCAAAAACATAATGGAGTTCCATATATAATATTTGCATTTGAGAGGATACAAATTCACTAGCTCTGACTTTAATGGCAACTAAAGAGATCAGAGAAGGGAAATGCTGATGAATGTTACTCATTTTAAACAAGATGAATTCTTCTCATTTAAAACACTCACTTCATTTGGTGGTATCTTCTGACCCTCTTTGCACTGTCTTGTGGGAACTGGGGGTTGGGTTGGGGAGCCAGTGCAAATGAATGCTCTAGGCAACCTATGCCAACCTGGTGTCACACTCTGTGAGAAAATAATGTGCAATTTAGAAATCCAAATGGAGTACTACTTACTACCTCTGGGTACTAACACAGGAAAGCTGTACTGAAAACATGTCAATGATAACTGTTAACACCACTTAATACATGTAAAAAATTATTTTGTCTTATTTCAGATATCCTGGTCTGCCTTAGAGCTTTAGCCAGTTACTACATTATAGAACCTTGAGATTTTTTAAAAAACATTGAAATTTTCACAAGTCTTCACAGGTATAAATACAACCATAGCAAAGGTTTTCTTTTTTATGAGAGTTATTTTTCTCCAAGATCCAACGTATTTATTACCCTCTGAGAGTTAATACATATGTGATCATGAAATGAGAACTATAAACTCACCTTCAGATGAGTATTTTCTCGGTTCAGTTTTCATTCAAGCTACCGCAATGGTTTCGTTCAAAGTTGTACCTTGAAAAATAACAAACCACCACATCCCATAGACCTTTGAGGTCACTCAAAACCAATCAAACTATGACTCTTAAATCTGTGAATGCCAAAGGATCTGCTGTATAATAAAAGAGTACATGCAAAATGTCTTGAGAACATTTGGATGATTAATATAACCTTCTCTCTGCTCAAGGACAAGGACATTCCTGTGCAGGAAGAAGTTGAACCTGCCCCAGTTAGGAGGATTCTGAAATTCAATGCTCCAGAATGGCCCTACATGGTGGCAGGGTCTGTGGGTGCAGCTGTGAATGGGACAGTCACACCCTTCTATGCCTTTTTATTCAGCCAGATTCTTGGGGTAAGTATACAGCTGGACTAGCTTTCTTCTTCTCATGCTTTTTATTTTCTTATTTTGATAAGTCGGCTCTTGTTTTAAAGTATTTAGCTCTTTTCTGTTAGCTCATTTTTCTCATCTCTAAATAATGAAAAATTTCCCCAGTGTCTATCACTCAGAAGCTAAGAAGGCAAGGTTGTACACTCTCATTTGGCTTGGCAGGGCACTCAGAATCATCGCACCCTAAAATAAATGGTACTGTCACTGAAACTTTTGTGTTAGAAGAGGGCAATTTATCTAGTAATGCACATCAAACCTGATGAAAATGCAAAGTGGACTCACTGAATAATACAAAAGGATTTTAGGGAAATTTTGATCTTGTTGAATAGCAAAGGTACAAAGTTTAACTTACATAGCAGGTGTTAGTGTTTGATGTATAATTCTCTATTGATTGTACCATTGAAATAGGAATGTGGATAAGAAGCAGAAAAAGAAAGAGCGAAGTAGATGAGGCATGAATGAAAAATAAGCTTATTGCAATTTTTCACTTTCCAGAATTTCTTATATTTTCTATCTGACTTTATTGTTGTAGTCATAACTATGAACATTTATTAGGTAATATCTAAGCACTTTATGTACACTTTATGTTCATTTAAGTTTACTAATAACCATTTAAGGTAGGTATTCTTATTATTCCTGTTTTACAAAGGAGCAAACCAAGGCACCAAGAACTTAGGATAGCAAGTGGTGGAGTTGGGATTCAAATTCAGCCAGTGTAACTATAGAGCCAAGTTCTGGTAAAATCTTGCCATTGCAAGATTAGTTATTAAAATTTGATCATGGAAACAGTACTGAAAGATGACTGACTAGATGTAATAGTATGTGTCTCTCCATGAAAAGGAATCCGAATAGTAAGTAGATTTACATTTAATTGGCTCACAGTTCCACATGGCTGAGGAAGTCTCAGGAAACTTACAATCATGGTAGAAGGTAAATGGAAAGCAAGGCAAGTCTTCACATGGCCAAAGCAGAAGGAAGAGAGGGCAAAGTGGGAAGACTGCAAACTTTTAAACAACCAGGTCTAGAATAGATCATCTGGGCTAGAACATTAGGATTCACCAAAGAAGTGATGGGAAGCACCAAGAATAAGAAAAGAGAGGATTCAAAGCAGGATACCCAGTTAGGGACTGCTTGAGAGCCACAAGAAGCTTTTGTATATGGGCAAACAATAATAGATAAACCCCCAGGGCTCCAAAATGGGCTTCTATAATCTTGGCCATGGGATAAATCCTTGAACCACTAGGGTCTTGTGGCTGACATGAAGAGCTGCCTAAAGATTACACAGAGATGTTGCTCCAGAAAGGAAAAACCACACAGAATCACACAGGCATATGATCCTGGAGTAGCCTCAGCCAGGCATCATTTTGAGAACCTAGATACTAGGGATATACAGACATGTGCTGCCTCTGCACTGCTCTAGGGAGGGAGAGGGGAGACCAGATACTCCCGTTGGCCCTGGGAGGGTCCCTGCCACCTTCTTGTGGGCTACTGTTGAGACTGAGTCATGAACAGACTCAGAGTAGAATCATACAAAGATCACACTACTGTATGAACCCAAAATCAAAGCCAAAGCTCTTAATCAACAACATATATTCAGGAAAAAATTGTCTCCTGCAAAACCAAATTCAAAAAATTAAAACAAGCAACTGGTGGGGCATTGCTATAAACACACCTGAAAATGTGCAAGTGACTTTAGAACTGGGTAATGGGCAGACATTGGAACAGTTTGGAGGGATCAAAAGAAGACAGGATGATATGGGAAAGTTTGGAACTTCCCAGAGACTTGTTGAATTGTTTTGATCAAAATGCTGATGGTGATATGGACAATGAAGTCCAGGCTGAGAAGGTCTCAGTTGGAGATGAGGAACTTATTGGGAACTGGAGTAAAAGTCACTCTTGCTATGCTATAGTAAAGAGACTGGCAACATTGTGCCCTGCTCTAGAAACCTGTGGAGCTTTGAACTTGAGAGATGATATCTGGTGGAAGAAATTTCTAAGCAGCAAAGCATTCAAGATGTGGCCTGTCTGCTTCTAACAGCCTATCTCATTTGCATAAAAGAAATTACCTGAAACTAGAATTTATATTTAAAAGGAAAGCAGATTATAAAAGTTTAGAAAAATTCACAGCCTAACCATGTGGTGTAAAAGAAAAACCCATTTTCTAGGGAGGAATTCAAGGCTGCAGTACTTTGCTTAAGAAGATTCAAATGTTAATAGTCAAGACAATGAGGAAAATGCCTCCAGGGAATTTCAGAAACCTTCACAGCAGCCCCTCCCATCACAGGCCTGGAGGCCTAGGAGGGAGAAATGGTTTTGTGGGCCAGGTCTAGGGCCTCACTGCTCTATGCAGCCTCAGTTCATGGTGCCTTGCATCCCAGCCGCTCCAACACCCAGCCATGGCTAACAGGGGCCAAGGTACAGCTCAGACCACCACTTTAGAGGGTGTAAGCCCCAAGCTTTGGCAGTTTCCACATGATATTGGGCCTGCTGATGCACAGAAGGCAAGATTTGAAGTTTGAGAGCCTCTGCCTAGATTTCAGAGGTTGTATGGAAGTGCCTTAATGTCCAGGTAGGAGTCTACTGCAAGGGAAGAGTTCTCATAGAGAGCCTTTACTAGGGTAGTACAGAGGGGAAATATGGGGTTGGAGGGATATTTCAGAGGGGAAGTGAGGGGAAATGTGGGGTTGGAGCCCTCACACACAGTCCACACTGGGGGACTGCCTAGTGGAGCTGTGAGAAGAGGGCCATCATCCTCCAGACCCCAGAATGGTAGATCCACTGAGAGTTTGCACCCTGTACCTGGAAAAGCCACAGGCACTCAACTTCAGCCCCTGAAAGCAGCTCTGGGGTCTGTACCCTGCAGAAGCACAGAGGCAGAGCTGCCCAAGGCCTTGAGAGCCCACCCCTTGTATCACTGTGGCCTGGATGTGAGACATGGAGCCAAAAGAGATTATTTTGGAGCTTTAAGGTTTAATGACTTCCCTGCTGGGTTTTGGACTTGCATGAGTCCTGGATCACCTTTGTTTTGGCCAATTTCTCCCTTTTGTAACAGAAGCATTTACCCAATGCCTGTACCCCCACTGTACCTTGGGTACACCTTACCCAAAAGACATATAACTAACTTATTTTTAATTTTACAGGCTCATAGGTGAAAGGGACTTGCCTTGTCTCAGATGAGACTTGGGACTTAGACTTTCGAGTTAATGCTTAAATTAATTAAGACTTGGGGGACTCTTGAGAAGGCATGATTGTGTTTTGAAATGTTAGAAGGACATGTGCATTTAGAGACATCAGGGGTGGAATGATATGGTTTGGCTCTGTGTCCCCACACAAATCTCATGTTGAATTGTAATCTCCACATGTTGAAGAAGGGACCTGGTGGGGGGTGATTAGATCATGGGGGAAGATTTCCCCCTTGCTGTTCTCATGATAGTGAATGAGTTCTCACAAGATCTTCTAAAAGTGTGTAGCACTTCCCTTTTCACTTTTTCTTCCTCCAGCTTTGGCCATACAAAGATGTGCCTTGCTTCCTCTTTTCCTTATACCATGATTGTAATTTTTCTGAGTTCTCCCCTGGCATGTGGAACTGTGAGTCATAAACCTCTTTTCTTCAGAAATGACCCAGCCTCTGGTATAGGAGTGTGAGAATGGTTTAATACAGATACCAATCAAAAAGAATTTCTTGAAATGCCAAGTTAATGATTTAAAATACTGATTTTTAAACATAATAAGATGCAAGAAAAATCTGAAAACCAATAGAAAGAAATTAGAAAATCAATTCAGGACATGAATGAGGAATTTACCAAGGAGATAAATATCTTTTTAAAACTATAAGCAGAAATTCTGGAACTAAAAAATTTATTGAAGGAAATACAAAATATGCTTTAAAGCTTAAATCATATACTAGACCAAGTAAAGGTAAAAATTTCAGAACTTTAACACATGTCTTTTGAAATAATACAGACAGAAAAAATATGGAAAAAAGAATAAAGAGAATAAACAAAGCCTTTGAGATGTCTTGGACTAAATAAAGTGACTGAATTTGGATTAAATAAAGTGACTGAACTTATGAATTATCAGTATTCCTGAAAGGGAAAAGCAATCCAAAAGTTTAGAAAATGTATTTTAGGGAATCATCAATAAGAACTTCCCAAGTCTATCAAGAATGTTAGACATCCAGTTCAGGAAGTTCCCTGATCCCCAGGCAAACAGATTGCAAAAAGGAATTCACCATTACATATTTGTTCAGAATGTCTAAAATCAAAGTAAAAGAAAGAATTTTTAAATTAGGAAGAGTAAAGCATCTACTCACCCAAATAGCAGTCTTTTCAACAGAAACCTTATGGGCCAGAAGAGAATGAGATGGGATTTTCAAAGTGCTGAAAGGAAAAAAAAAAAAAACTCTCAGCTAAGAATTTTGTATTCTGCCAGAATAAGCTTCATAAGTGAGGGAGAAATAAAGCTCTTCCCCGACAAGCAAACACTAAGAGAAATTGTCACCACTAGACTGGATCTACAAGAAATGCTCAAAGGGGTCTTAAACATAGAAAAGATAAAGGTCATTATTCACCATCACAATAACACATGGAATTATAAAATTCATAGTTTATATAAAATAATCACACAAAGAGGAAGAGAAAAAAATGACATAACAGAATTTAATCAAACCACAAAGACAAAAAAAAGAGAGAAAAAGAGGGAAACAATTTATGAAACAACTTGAAAATAATCAGTAATATGACAGGAACAAAGCCTGACATATCAATATTAACCTTGAATTTGTAAATCCCAAAAATCCGAGACAGGTCTCAGTTAATTTAGGAAGTTTAATTTGCCAAGGTTGGGGATGTGCACCCATGACACAGCCTCTGGAGGTTCTGATGGCGTGTTCCCAAGGCAGTCACAGCACAGTTTGGTTGTATACATTTTAGGGAAACATGAAACACCAATCAATATATATAAGA